GGTGGTGTGACTTTGACCCAGGCCTTCGCATTGCATGGCACAGTAGACTTCACACCCAAAGTGTTCTTGAAGCTCTACAATATTCACAGTGGGTTTATCTTTTTGCTTTAAATATATCTAGCTATCAAGGAGCAAGAGAAATAAAGTAACCAGCTGCACAGGAAATGACACTGAGAACAGCATCTTCAATTTCAAGAGTTACCTATTTGCTCCAATTCCATTCACCATAAGCTTGAACATGAGCAGGCAGTTACAGGACAAATATGAATCTGCAAAGCTGCTCTTCCCATCCCTTTACCTTGAGCATCCCTCACATGTCAGTTACGTGCTGTCAATGCCTTCCAAACCATTAGTCCTCATTTCAGTGTTTTAAAGTCTTATCTTCCAAAGTTCCCCTATAATATATTTCTTTCTAGAGGTAGGCAGTGAACTTGTTCTTTCTTTCTTTATTTTTTTTTTTCAGAGGTGATTTCTGAGTTTCTTTTTATGCAGAGGGTTCTTCAAAGAAGGATATATTATTTCCCCATCCTTGAGTCTTCTTTCCCCCCATTATTACAATTTTCAAAAATGTAGATGCCTCTAATACAGCAGAGACCGTTCCACAGCTCTGCCTTTAATGGAGTGAGCAGATTGCAGTAAGAATGCGGTGCTGCTCAGTAAATTTAATGACTTTATGAAGATAAATGTTTCCCTTCCAAAGCCCCTTCTTGTCAGAATACATTTAATACCGCCATTCCTTTGAGAACTAAATTCCTGTAGCACTTTGCAGCATATTAGCATGTTTTTCTCACCACATGAAATTGCACTTCAAGCAAGAAATAATAATGTTTCTGCATCCCCTTGTACATTTTTATTACTGCCAATGAATAGGAGTAAATTAACTATTATGGCTAACATTATTCACAGGGACAAATTCCTAACTCATTTTACAGAGAATAATAAATAACTGAATAAATAAGATGCCTTTAATTTCACATGTGAATTATCAAAGATTCCTCTGAGTAGGAGGAGTAGAGGCTTTACAAACAAAATACAACTCTATACGAGAAGTTAGATATGTGTCCACTCATCTTTATTATCTTCTATCCTCCAAAAAGTATAATGAATATTCTTGTAATTACGTGATTCCTGTGAAAACAGGTTTATTTTGTTGGATTATTTGCTTCTATGCTTGTTATCCAAATACTAATCTGGGAGATGAGCCACATTTTGCTGTTAGGTTCTTGGATTCTGCTGTGACTGATGGCAATTATCGTATGGTTTACTTCATCCACAGACCTTAGAGTTGTTTTTCAAGACTGAGAACCGTTGTACCCTTTTACAACAAGAGAAACTGAGGCTCAGAGATAGGTATCTTGTAGTAGAATACTCAAGATATCTGATCCAAGGCTCCAGTAGATCACAATGTTTTAAGCCATCCTAAAGATTACCTTGTTGCTTGATAGGAAAACTGACCCTAGACAAAATTCTTTTTTTGGAAAGAAAAAATATTTTGAAGTCATTAACTGGTTCAGAAGGTATCAGTCTTTATCTCAAGCATTTTAAAGTGTGGTTAAAAAGATTGTCAAAGGGGATGCATATTTTTCTATTATTTACCAAGAAAAACAGGTTCAATTAATATAAACAGCCCACAGGTTTGTAAAAGGGAAAATGGGAATACTTGTCTGTGCCATTTTTGAATGTGGAATAAGAATTGCCATAAATTTCTGCTTCTTGCTCAAAAGTTTTGAATCTGATGGCAATCAGATGGAGTCGGTGGCGGAGGAAGCAAGTTGTGTACCCATGTATCCTGATGCTGTGTCAGACCGAGGGGCTGTGCGTACTAAACTCTGCCGTCCTTAGGTCATTGCTTACTCTGTGTGGAGTGGGTGGGGTGTCCGCGACTCGGTGTACATCTCCACAGTTCTTTTGGCGTGAATTTGTGCTTCAGTTTCTGTAAAGGTGAGCGTGGAGCTGTGCAGGTGCTGTCTTGCCATGACTAGAGCTATTATAAAAAACAAACACAGAGAGCATTTTTACTGAACAGACTGTTGCAGCGCAGCATTGCTGAAAAACCTCTGTTCTTGAAAATTCCAAATTCTTCTTCAGAAGGCGGTCTGACAGAAATCTGTGTGGTAGAGTGTCATGTTATTTGCGCCTATTCCCATTTTGTGACTAAAAGCAACTCCCCTCACTTATTTTTCTTTATATTACTTTTCTTCTTCCCCCTTGAGGTGCGGGCAGTGGGGCCAGGCCTCGGTGAGTCTGCGAGGCCGCCGCTGGAGGGAGGCCGGCGCACGCTCCCCTCACAGCCCTCAGTCGCCTTCTTCCTCGCTCCTTCCCCCTCCTCCGTTCCTCTGCAATAACTGTTGTAAATTAAACAGTTACTTCTCTTCCTCTGGTTTCAAAGCATCAAAGATGTATGTGAGCCCATTACCTTTGATGCTGATTTCCTGTTAGAATGCATGTTTTGGCGTCGCAACATCCTGAAAAAGTTTAATCTGAAGCAGAAGAACTGTAAAATGAAGAGAGCAATTATATACAGCCCAGAGCCCTGAGCAGCTGAAATGACAACAAAGTTTCATCTGTTTATTAGGTTAGCTCTGTTTCGGATAAAATACTATTAGCAATTTATGAAGAGGAGAGCAGGACTTTGAAATCGAATATCTGTCAATTAAATCCGAAAATTTTAATACGAAGTGCTTTTAAAAGTCAAATAACATCTATTAAAACGCTGGAGTTAGTCAACAAGATCAGGCTGTACCCTGGGTATACGCTGAAGGAAAAACAGTGTATACATGACAGAACCTTACCTGGGAGGAGTGGGAGGGGATCTTCGTGTAGACAGAGAGGAAAAATGAGGAATTAAAACAGCCTTCTGCTCTGCAAAGAGCATTACTATGTAAAGATGGCTACAGTTGTCAAGGCAACTTTGCTGTTGCTTTTACGGGTGCTCCAAATGTGGTCTCTGAAATCAACCTCCCTGCTCCCCTCCCAAACAAAAACGCCACAACAAACAAAATGCCCCCGCATTTTTTTGAGGCTATTTATACTTTTCAATAGAAAATGATCAAGTAAAAACAGCCGAGGATTGACTGACATTCCTTCCAAGAGGAAATAATAGCAAATCAGCCAATACTTGCAATTGATGCTCCCATCTGTATCTTATCCTTGGTATATAGTGATCAAGGTCTTGTGTTTAACAGGGCAGATTAGGCGGTCTGCTTGGAGTAAGTAAAAGAAGAAAAATTGACATTGATCACCTTTAACACAGAAGAAAGTTCTGAGCTCTTTAGTTTTGATGGCATCCTTTTGTTCCGTGTTTGTGCACCACTTAGCTATTGTACGGTATCGGTCCACACACTGTGATGAGTCACTAAAAACCTCTTTCTTCAGGCTTGAAGGCGAGCGTGGAGAAGAGCTCAAATACTTTAGCTGACTGTATTGAAGGAGAGGGCAGGGCAGCCTGTGTAAATGGGATTTGCTGTTCCCTTTGCTGTGGAGTGCCTGACTTACTTGTCCTGAGGGGTGGCCTTCTCTGTTATATTGCATTTTCACCAAGCGATTGAAAGCTGAAAGGCTGACAGCACAATGATGCTGTATTTACTGACGCATGGGTCTTGCAGCTGTATCCTCATGGGACTCTTTGCTTTCCAGAGTAGAAACCATCTTCTGGTGTGTGTAAATATATTGTGTGTTTACAACATCCGGCAGATAGGGCACAGGGTTTGTGATCAGTACCCTAAACTTCCACAGCAGCAACATCAATATTTTCTGGCTCCGTACTGATGGGCCACATGTGGATACTTTAAATAATTTGCATGCCACGATATAATCTTCACTTAAGCCCTTCTGGCTTTTCTTATTTGGTCACAGTAATGCTGTCAATAATCCTTGTTTATGCTGATAATGCAAAAAGGAGGACAAACTTGTACTTAAAGCCCAGGCTTCTGCTTCCTGACCTGTAGTACAGGGACATGAATAATTCCTTTTTCACTCAGTCTAGCGGTACTTAAAATGAAAGCTCTGCAGGGCAGATGCTGTATCTTAGTGTGTGTCTATGTGGTACATGGGATGTGCTCTGATCTCAGCTGGGCCATCAAAGTGGTGCTTTATCACCTGTAATGTCAAAGAACAGATGTAGCTCAGTTTTTTTCTGGACTATGAGAAGGGCTTATATTCTGCCTGTGGTGTCACATTTGAAAATCCGTATGGAAAAACTGTTGGTTTCTGAACAAGTTAGTAACATTTGTCCCAGTCCTTATTTTAAATGTCAGTTTCTGTGGTTTCATACATCTTAGTAATAGTATTGCATGCAATATAAACATCTGCGGAACAAATTCCTTGTGTTTTTACAACAGTCCCCAAAATTCTTTGTTATATTTTTGTGGTGGAACTTGACTGCCAGAGACCAACAGACCCTGTTGGGTAGAGACCGCTACCCAGTGGCCTGTGAGTGGATCCAAAACATTGCTGTAACGTGGTTTGGCGAATAGCAGTGGCAAGAATGTGGGAAGAATTTCCAGAGCAGATCAAATAGTCCAGCGCTAAACACAGGTTAGAAAAGATATAGACCAAAGATCTTCTAATAGTGTAAAGCTGTGCTTGGCAGAATGAGAAAACATATGGGTAGTTGTGATGCAACAAATAATGATGCAATGTATTTAGGAGTTCCAGGACCTCTGTTCACATAGGCATTGACTACATGCTGACAATGAAAAGCCACAGATAGGTTCTTTGATAGAACCACTGATAAGCTTAAGACTAAATAGATGTAGGAAAGGAAATTCTTGCTTTACGAAGCATATATTCTCCACAGGTGTTCTCTTAGCTGTGTCAGACCTGATTTAAAGAAACTGCTTCTGTGACTGAAGATCTGAGACAGTTGTCTCTGAGTTAGTTTGGATTCCTTTCATAATCCATGGAAAGGGTGGTGTTTATAGGCTGTGATTGTTCTGATCTCTCTTTGATACCTACCCCAGGATGAGATGAACTTAATAAATACTTCTCTTTCTCTCTAGGAGCTGTGAAGTCATACTAGACAAGTAGCAGAGATGGAGAAGTCCCACCAGTAGTTTTAAGTTCAGTTCCTCTCCCACCTCCCATTAAGCAGCAAAGGTAACAACGTCTAAATAGAGTGAGTAGAATTTTTGCCATTGAGTCCAGTGGAGGCAGGGTTTCACCCGATGACTGAGCATCATATGAATACGTAGCACTGCTTTGGAAGTGAATCAGATCCATGTATTCCTAAAGATTCAGTTGCCCAGAGACTGGACTGGGACTGATGTAAAGTTGTTCCTGAGGTCTCTCTGTGTGTCTATCAGCATTGTCAGGAGTGTCTTTTGAAAGTCCAGCCTTAAACAAGCAGCTGAGTTGTGCTAGCCAAGTTTCCTCCTATGGAGCTATTACTGTTCAAAGGCCCTCAGTGGACACCTAACTGCCAAAGGACTAAGTTGTGCCAAGGAGGGAAAAAGAAAATCCCAAAGCTCTTAACTGAATGCTTCTCAAGTTCCTCATTATCAAGTTACTTTTTTACTTTAATATGACTCTGTACATACATAGTTTTATTGTATGGTGCAACACATAAAGCATTGGCACTTGTCTCAAGTCTTGGAGGTCTGAATATGCCTGTGATAACAAGCTCAGAAAAAAACATTATAGTGCAAAATGAAAGTTAAGCTATACTGGCATTTGCTACTATGTAAACACCAGTTGTTGGGAAATGATAAGCATTATTGATATCCCAAACGCATGTATTAGCGGGAACAATGTTATGTAAAATGTTAACATCTGTCAAGACAATATAAACAATTATAAGTAACTTTCTTTTAACGATGCAATTATGCAATAACAAAAGGTGCACTGTAAATTAACATGACACCACGCCAGGTTTATATATTTTAGGGAATGAATTTCAATGCAGCTAAGAAAACAAACAAAGTTTCTAGAGAATCCCTTTGGAAAAAAAATAACTCCACTAAACCTTTACGAAATAAAGTCTGGGAACTGAGATTGTTATTAAATCTGACCTTGATCAGATTTTTATTATGTCAGAAAAAATGGTTCTTAAGAGACAGAGTTGTCATGGGATTAGAGTACATCTACAGCAAGATGTTTCCATGGCAACAAATCAAACACCATTTCCTAAGTCTGCAGTCGTCTGCTTCAAAACCATGAACTTAGCATTGAATAATTATAGAGAAACGCGGTAATGTTGTGTAAAGAGAGGGGGGGAAATAAATCAATCTGGAGGCAGTGATTTATTTTAAAATGCCAATTAACCCCATCAGTGTGATTGTTTGGAGCTTCTGTTGGTGGCGACAGGTCCCACATAGGTATTTGGTTTTACAAATTGAAAGCATAATTTTTTTGTCACACATAACCTTAAAAAAGTGAAAGACGAATCATAATTCCACCAGAATTAATGAAGTCTGAAAGTTATGTATAAAAGCTGTAATAGAAATTCAGAGTTGTGTCAGAGACTCCAGGCGGCGGCAGCACACGATACTCTACCTGAATTCCCCTCATGTTTGAAGGATCTGAAAACATACTTGATACGGGTATGTGTTTAGTCTCCTACAACCAATGAGCTATCTAAATTCATAGGCTCCAATGTCACACAGCTGTAATCTTGGTGGAAAGTTAAACCAGTGAGCACATCTCCACTTAGAACTTGGGGGAGTGAGTTAAGACTAGTTTATCAGTCTCTTTCCCATTCTGCCATAATTATATTATAAATGTATTGTTCTTCTCCAGAAGCTGTACCTTCTGAATTTATTTGTTGCGTGGTGACATCTGTCTCTGTCTCTCTTGTTTTTTTCCCCTACGAAATAGAACATGCTCTTCCCCCTCCCTGGCTACTGGGAGGTTTCCTGGGTACGTTTAGGACAGGTTGCACAGCCAGCTCGGAAGATGAGTTGTGTTTTGACGCTGCACTTGATGAATGACCTTTTATTAAAGGACACAGGTTCAGTGCAGAAGCACAGTCTTCAAGCACTGAGTGCAAATAGCCTGTGCCTGTGTTACTTGTTTTGGATGCGTGTTATCCTGCAATGTGGAGGCTGCAAGCAGGCATTAAGGGAGGTTTTGGGAATCATAGGCTTGAGACTCAGTAGTGACATGTTGTCCTCAGCGTTGTGATTGCTCACATACAGCTGCACGTTCTCTTCTCCAACAAAATCTGGCTAATAGAAAAATCCTAGGATGGGATGCATTCCTGTGCATTTATTCCAGCTACTACTAATTTGATTAGTAACGGTTGGTGTCTCACCATTAGGATACAGACAGCTATCAGAGGCCAGAAATGTGTTAACGGTGACTTGTAGGCTGCAGTAGTAGATCTGCTGTCACAAACAGAGTAGCACTAAATTGGTCTCTAACTGCAGGTATTAATCCTGACAAAGAGTGTGGGTTTTACTTGGCAATGTAAGAGTGATCTTAAGAGGAACTGGTGTAGTCCTGAACCTCATCACAACTGCTGCTTTCTCCTTTGCTGCTCGTTGATGTGTTCTCTCAACCCATCTTCCATCTCTCGTTTAGCTCTTCTTACTCCTGGTGTGCTGCAAGGAACTGTGTTGCCTGCTGTGGTTATGAATCAAAGTTCTGCTCCAAATCAGGCCATTTAATACTGCCTGGGATGTGGGTACCACTGCAATAGTCCCAAGAAACGCTCATTTCAGTGTGGAAAAAAATGCTGGACTTGTTGGCTGTCCCCAGTCCAGGTGAAGAGCTCTGCAGAAATTACCTGAGGTGGGTATGTGTCATCTTCTGACTCCCATTGACCTACCTAGGAAGGTAAGGGGACATTTACAGATGCAAAGCAAACTTCACAAAATAATTTCTTCAAAGCTTTGCAAGAAGTTCAGTCTTAGATTGAATCTGGATTTGCACGGTATTAATTTGCCCACCTCAGGAGGCTAACTTCACACTTTAAACCAGAAGCTGTATCTTACTTTAATTCCAAAGATCTGTGGGGGCATTCCTGTAATTTTAAAATCAGTGAGTCAGAAGAAGGTAAATGCTGCAGCTGAAACTTTCACGTAGATTGAAATGATAGGAATCTTTCACTTCTTATGTGTGCACAATTTACAGCCATTAAAAGTATATTAGTGTCGTAGGAAATGGGAAAATTGTTTGTTCCCTAAAGGTGTAAGGAAAATGATACTCCTCTTGCTCACAATAGGGAATTATTAATAAAGACGGAGAAGTGATCCCACTCGGAAACAGATATTTTTAACATTGCTAAAAATAACAGTGTTGATCTGTGTTTTTAATGGAAATATACTGGTAAATACGTGTATATTTTTCACGAACACTTTTTATATTAACAAAATCCATCAGTGAGGGAAACAGCCCAAAGCCAAAAGAATTTCCATTGCCATGGTGCAGCTTTCAGGAAACACTTGCGCCTTGGCAAAGCCCAGCGGGGTTGTTTTTCTGCAGGACTCCCAGTCAGTTGTCTCTGGACATGGGGAGATGGTGGTGCCTCAGTCTGTGCACCAGTCACTGCCTTCACAAGCTGAATGGCTCAAATCTTAATTTAAAATATACAAAAGATGAAAGCCGCTGAAGGCTTGTGAAAATGGGTTTGTGGGCAGAGTGTGGTCCATTAAGTGATACAAAACCCCTCTGGGAGAACATGAAAGGTCTAAGCCATGTCCCTTTGTGGGTTTAATTTGTGTGCTTCTGTGCCATGTAAGTGTTTCTGGAAACGTCACCCTGTGTCTCTTGCCCAATAGTTTTCAAGTCAGGTTGAAGACTTGAATCACGTTTCCAAAACCCTTCCTTTCCTATCTTTATTTCAACGCTAGAAGCACGTAGAGATGCCAGTCCCACAAAGAGGCACATGCCATGGTGGATACATCCAGTACAGATAGGTTACATTGGTTTGAATAGATTAAGAAGCAAGCAGTAACCCAGGGACATTAGGACTCAAACGTTGTGCTCGGGTCATACTGTGCTACCTGTTCACAAGCTGATTTTTTTGCAACCAGACTTGTGCATGGTCCAGTCCACTCTCAGCATGTGGTGTGTTAGCACGGTACGTATCGCTAGTGATTATTACAGTGTGGAAACGTCATTAACCACTACATTTCTTCCATTATCCTAGGACTGAATATGGCACTTTTGCCAAATTATGAGGACTCGGCCAGGAGATTGTGCCATCCTGGGCGGATGGAGGAAGGGGGAAGAGCACGATGCCATCCATAGCCATTACTTACTGGGTAAGTAACTTACTGGGTAACTTCCTCCCTTGCTTAAGGGAGGAAGCTGCACCCCATGGGCCAAGGGGCTCTTGGCAGTGAGTTTCTGGCTGGATGTGGTGCTGATGTTGTGAGGCTGTGGGGTGCTGAGCCACCTGGAGGGCTGGGCAGTGTGGGATGGTGGTTCCTAGTTCTCCAGTGCAGCCAGGGCAGTGACTCACCATGCAGTGAGTCATTAGAGCTATTTCAGAGCGTCATTTCAGAAGAAATACTTGGCTTTCAGGGTTTTCCAGTGGAGAACAAGTGTCTCCTTCCTGCAGGAAAGATCCAACTCATTCTTCATAGTTGTCTGAGCCTCCTTGATCCAGGTGCCAGCAGAAGGACACGTAGTTTTGGGGTGAGAACTCACTTCTGTCAGCAGTGGTGGTACTTGGACAAATGACATTCTTGGGCAAATGATGTGAGGCCAGAAGCCTGAAAAAAAGGAGTCTAAATGAGTCAGACTGCACTGAGGCTACCTATTTATGTGTATCATTTCTGGAAAATCTCTGTGTATAATCAGAGTGATTTTTCTCTTTCAGCAGGAGGAGGAGCTGGCCCTTCATTACACTTAAAATGGAGTTTGATTCCTGGTAGTGGGTCAGTGGTGATTATACTGCTCAGATAAATGCAGGAAAGGAAGGACTGCCCATCTGGGCTGACCATGTGTGAGACACACAGCCCGACAGTGCAAATGTTCAGGTAGGTGGAGCTGGTGGACTTCACCTGGCACTGGTGAGACTGGGTCAAACGTGATGGGTGCTTCACATGGTAAGATGGGGGCTTATTGTCCACAGGCTGGGTTCAGGGAAAACTTTCGTGTGAGGAGAAACTGAAGAGTCTGGCCCAGCTAATAAGTGGAATAATTAATAAAGGAAATATAATAGTGTATCAAAGTAATGAGTAGCATGAAAGCAGACACTGGCTGCTCCTGTTTACCCTTTCTCAAGCAGATATTGAAGCGAGAAGGTGCCACATTTAAAACCAGCCGAAGACACTTGGGTTTGCAGAAACAAGCCCTGTGATTAACCTGTCTCATTTACTGCCTCGAGATTTAATTGAGGCCGCAAGCGTAGCAGTGTTCCAGAGAGGACCGGACATTTACAGCAGTGCGACCACCCACAGCCGCTGGGCTGCTCACTGCGCTGCACCCCGGTGGCAGCAGCGGGGGCTGCTCAGCCAGAACACGAGCAGCCCCCCGGGAACGGGACCGGAGCATCCTCAGCACCGGGGGCACCCCGCGGGGACGGGACCGGCGCCTGCAGCGCGGCCGCTGTGCAGCAGGGGGCGGCCCCGCTCCGCACCCCCCGCTCCGCACCCCCCGGTGCTGGGCGCCTGCAGGGAGCTGACCCGGGCAGGGCGCTGCAGTGAGCGCACCGGCATTGCAGGCGTTTTGAGGTCTTTTTCTTTCTTTCTTACATTTATTTATTTGTTTTAACGAAGCTCTGATTTGCACTTGATAACTTAGTTAGGAATCTGCCGGAAACGAGAACTCTGATGAAACTGATTTTCCCCTTAGTGATGTGTTTTGTCGAAATAAATTTAAAACATTTTTAAAAATTAGTGATGAACCTCTGCTATTCCTGCCCCCTGTCGTTTTATTTCTACTGTTGTCTGAGTACTTTCAGGACCCGAGCATTACCAGACTCTACCAGGAATGACAGCTGACTCAGAGGCAATAAGGCTTGCTGGAGGTACATTTCATGAGCATTAATTTGCAGCGAGGTCGGCAGGAGTTCCAAGAGTGCAGTATTGCAGTTGTGAGACCTGAACAGCAACACAAATGCTGTCTGGGAGGCCAGGTGTCCAAAATGAGTGTTAACTGCCTTCGGCTGGCTGCTTGGCCACCGGACTCTCTCTTGGTGTGACTCTGGCCATGAAGGTTTGTGCATGGCCATTGGGCTGTGTGGGTACTGGGGTCCCTCCAGTGACCCCCGCGGGCAGTATCCTGGGCTCTGCAAGAGCAAGCATGTACAGTAGAGGTATCTTTTACCTCTAATCAATCTACCTCCCTATCTTCTGCAAGTATTGACTAACTCTAAGGGCAGCAGCAGTAAAATATTGGACAAGGGTTAGCTCCTGAGAGAACGTTATGTCGTTATGCTGTCTTTAGACGAAGACTGAAGACAGTAATCAAAAGGGCTATTTTTAACCATGGGTTGATTTATTTGTTTTTCTTGTACAGCTATTGCACCTGGAGCCACTGATGATGGCTTGATTAATTCTCAGTGATTTTTTTTTCTCCACCTTCCTCCCCACGACTTTTCCGACTGGCATAAAGTTGTGCTGTGGCAGGCACAGTCACTGGGTGAAGATAAGTCCCCAGGTAAAGGCTGCTTTGGGCTTGTTGGCAAGGGCACAGGTGCTTGAACCCTGTGTAGGCTTGCAAAGTGGATGCTATGGGTAGATGTAGGTCAGCCGCCAGCCTTCTCAGTTCCTCCTCTAGAAGTGAGTAGATACAGGTGTAGCTGCAGGTCACCTACCCCATGTATGGTGGGTGTTGTAGCCAAACATAGACAGGGACCACCACTCAGTGCAAAGGTCTCCTGAGAAAGTGAGTAAATCAGTGCTGCTGATCATCCAGCCTGTGCTGGGTAAGGTGCTACCATAATCACTGAGTTGCTGGCTTGTTTTAAGCCAGTTTGAGTATCTGTGCTACACCTTTATATTGGTGTTGTAGCCCTAAACTGAAGGGAAAAAAAAAAGAGACGCTGAGTTTTTAAATTCTTTTTCACCTATGAGCATTGGGCAGAGTCTGAGGAGCCTCCCTGTCTCTTTGAGCTTTCTACCTGCAGTGCAGGTTTAGTACGAGTATGACATGGAGTTTTCCTGCCAAATTGTGGGGCCTGAATCTGCTAGATCTGGGTACAGCAACTTCCTAGAAAGATGTCTGTCTTGATTCTTTTAATGACACTTAATGCTAAGTAAACTTGGGGCTCCACAGCGATTGGAGCAGTACAGGAACATATAAGAAACCAAGATTTTCAGAAGTGCCAGTGGATTTTGAAATCTCAGACTTCAGACATCTCTCCTGAGAACACCTAGGGAGACCCAGTAATGAACCCACTCTGAAGCAACCACTCCTGCAAAAACAGAGCTCTTAGTGTGTCTACCACATTCAGAAGCTCTCTCAAAATATTCTGCCTCCCAGGATTTTCTAAATATTCTCCATTCTTCCCCATCATAACTCACACCTTATTTTTTCCCCTCCGTGTGACTCAGTAGCAGCCACCTCCCTTTTTATTTTTCCTCGTTAAAGGTCAGCCTGAGCTGTGTATTTCAGATGAAAGGACACAGCCCTCAGCCAGCCTTGGGGCCCAGTTTGTGTTGTGGATGTCTCCTGAGGACACTTCTGTTTGCAAGTGTATGCATTGCAACTTCTGAGAAGCCTACAGAGATTGCTATTGTTTAAAATAAGCTCTGCCATACTTATTATTCTGCTAGTAATTTTTTTCTTTCTTATTTATTTCTTTATATTTCCTTCAGAGAAACTAACCACTTTCAGGTTGCAACTTTGAGCCTGCTCTGTGCCAAGCATCAGGAGTGACTTTTTGTCTTCAAAGCTGGAGAGACATTTCCCACCAGTGCAGATGAAGGTGCCTCTTCCCTCCAAGGCCACAGAAGAGCAGAGGGCAGACAGTGAGCTAAGGTCTGTTCTCACTCCTGAAGGTAAAAAGCTGCTCGTTTTTGTCTATCTGCACATGTTCCTTAAAATCTCATCTTGAGGGATCTGATCTGAAGTACTTGAGTAAATGGTAGATAGGCACCACGGAAAGGAGCTCAAGGGCAGCTGCAGGAAGCCCTAGGTGTAAATACAAGTGAGGAGGAAAAAGAAGGACAGTCTATTTCAAAGTGACAGAAGCTCTACAGGACTTCCTATAAAGAAAATACATGTTCGCTATCCTCATTTTTATTTTGTAGCTCTTGTTTCCACCTCGATTTGGTCAAGTAGAGGTTTACTTCCAAAGTAGCTGTACAGCTATTCCCTTGTTCCTTCCCCCAGCCTGAGTCCTGCTGCCTGTGGACAGTGTGGTTGTTGGCACGTCTAAAATGCTTCGTTCATGCCTCTTCCCACAAGTAACACTCGGAGCAATATCACCCTGTGGCCATGTGGGTTAAATTTGGAACATCACCACATGTGCCCTTATTTTAGTTTCCAGACAGGCTGTGCAGGTACTATGTGTACTTTTGAGGTGCAAGCCTATAAAGAGAATGCAGCAGAAGCCACTAACCCTGGATCATCTGTAAATAAGGAAAACTATAGTGTGTCTTTTTTTTTTCTTTTAACATATATATTCTTTTGGGAGGAAGTTTATCTATAAATTGAGAACATTAGGGGTGTTTGCCTGACTACAGATACACCTGGCAGTTTTGTTGTGATGGAGCATAGATTGCACCACGAGTTCTGAAGAGGCTGCTCTTTAAAGAGGTAAAATACAAAACAACAGGCACATCCGTATAATAGATCATCATTTAAGGTAACACATTCTGCCTGACATGTAGTGCTTTGCACATTTTGAATTGTCTCCTGCCAAAATATTCAGGCCTGCAGGGGGAACCCCTGTTGGGAACACAGGACAGATGGATCTGAATCCAGTCATGAAACTCCCTGGGGCCAGCAGTGTGATGTTAATGATCACACCACAGTAAGATGTAAAACATACCTTTGTGCAGCTCAGTGTAAACAGCAACTCCGGTATTATGATGTAAATGAGAAACCAGCAAGGGATGATGTGTGAATGGAAACACAGCAAGGTGCTCTGTGAGGGAGCAGAAAGTACAGTGCAAGGGGAAAATCTGCACATTGCAACTGGAGGTGGAATTAAAATGTGGACTCACTTCATTGTAGAGATAAACTTTAAATACTGCTTGGGCTGGTGGAGAAGGGAGGGAACTCTCAGAGTTCCTCTATGAGTACCTAATCCCAGCTGAGGTTCTGGAAGGGCAAGGGACAGGTTACAATTAAGTTTAGGTTCCTGCACTTGCCAATTAAGAGCTAGAGGATGGGGCTGGGACCAAATGGAAGATAAAAGCCATGAATTAGCCTTATCCCAACAAAAATGTGGAAGTCATCAGCCTGCCCTCCTGCTCAAAGCAGGGCCAGCTTTGAAATTAGGTGGTGTTGGTTAGGACTTTGACCAGCTCAGGTGTCTCCAAGGATGGACGTACCCTCCTGGGAGGCTTGTTCCTGTGTTTGGCCACCTCCATTGGGAAAACATTTCCTGTAGCATTAAATAGGTCTGAAATGACTCCATGGATGACAGGACTGAAAACTGGAAACTTGACAATGAGCAAGCATTAATGTGGTTTGTGGGGAGGTATCCAAAGGTACAAAAGGTCCAGTTGGGTCCTCAGCTTTATTTCAGAAATCCACGCTGCCCCTTTGAAGCCCCTTCCCAGTGAGGACAGTGGCAGCTTGCCTGTGAGACAGGGTTTCCATTGGGCCCTTGTAAAGCAAGGCCCAGTCAGAAAGTGTGGTGTCACCAATGTAATTTAAAAATGTGCTGGGCAGCAGGAGCGGAGCTGTGTCTGCTGCTGATTTTATTGTAACGGTGATGTTCCTCTTTGTCCCAGAGTTCCCCGTCCTCTTCCTCTCATCTCTCGCAAAGAAGTGAAGGGCTTGCTGGGAAGCTGAGCTTGAAGCTAGAGGAGGTCATACTTAACTAACCTCCTGGAGTTCTTTGAAGATATTACTGCCAGGCTAGATAAGGGGAATTCAGCAGTGTGCTTAGAGTTTCAAAGCGCGTTTCACAAAGTTCCACATCAGAGATTAATAGCTAAGGCAAAAGGTAAAGGAAGAGGAGGTAATAGAGGCTGTTGGATCAAAACCAGCTCAAGGGCAGGTATGAGACAATAAGCACAGATGAAAAATTTTCAAGCTGGCAGAAGGCTGTTCTTGGGACTGTTTCAGGACTTCTGTAACGCATAATCCAGACAGCACAAAGGTGCCCCACCATGCTCATGTCGCTGAGGCAGCCCAGGTTTGGCACCACCAGCAGCAAAACATCCTAGCTGTCCCCCTTCTGCCTGCCCAGCCAGGAGCCCTTTCACGTCTCTCTTGGGTGGGGGCAGTTTTTGGCACAAGTCTGCAGTCACTGGTGTCCCTGGGGCCATGCCGTGCCATCACGCTTCAGAGAAGCCAGTGTATGTATTCTTTAGGCTTTGAAAATAGCGAGCCGGCCCCTCAGCAGCATGGTGCAGCTGTGAAGTTACTCTGGCTTTGCAAAGGGAAGACAGAATTTAGTTTGAGGTCTCTCCAAAACCAGGCACAACCTGAGCAGATTCGCCAGCGCCGAGATCTCTCCGGTGACTCTGCCAACAAATGGCAAGACGGAGTTCAATGCAGACAAATGTAATTAATCTGCAAGCAGGGAATCAGACAGGGGAATAAGTGGTAAACAGAGCAAGCGTTCAGCAGAGGGATTAAGAGAGGGATTTGGTGGTGTTGGAGGTTCGTTTCTTTTGGAAAAATCATTGGAAGTGTCTGCCTAGATCACAGCTGTAGTAAAAGGGCAAGCAGGTGACACGGCTGCGTTAGTAGAGGGACAGGATATAAAACAAACGAGGCAATATGTCTGTTACTGTAAAAGGCATCAGATCTCACCTGAGTATTGTCAGCAGTGTTGGCCACTGCCATGGTGTGCTGCAGTGTACGGCAACAAAGAGCAGCCCTGCAGAATCCGCGTGTGAACAAAGGCGAGAGCGCCGGGTTTGTCCTCGGCAGGTTCCTGCCCACCCCGTCCATTCATCATCTGAAGAGGAAATCTGAGGAGCAAAAAGACTATCCCTCTAAGCTCTAACAGAGGTTAGGAATTTTGAAGTCGGCTGTATTTTTCCCCAGAGTATTTCTCTGTCTGGGTCTTTTTCTTGCTTTCTTCCCTCTACCTCTCCTTTCTCTTTTCATTGTTCCCCTTTCATTCCCTCTCTCCCTCCTACCACCAGTCTGGGTTTCTTTGTCTTTCCCTAATATATTGCTTCTCCTCCACCCCTGCCCAGGAACTGAGACGATTTAGTCACCTTGCTTCTTCAGACTCTTGAAGGAGCCCAGCCTCTGATGAGGGGTTGCTACTTTGAGTTTTACATGCTGTGTGGCAGGGTGAACAATACTTTTTTGCCCATAGATTTGGATGGAAAGAAATCTAAGTTGTTGCTGTGGAAAAGGAGAAACTCAACAACCAAACTGAAGGCAGGACGTGGAATATTACTCAAAATGACCATCAAAACCCTTAGATGTGGCTTTCCTTCCACACTCAGAAGAGTTCACAATAGTACAGCTGGTTCTAATCATGCAAATTCCACACCAGAAGTCTTCCTTTGTTTTCACTGGTGTAAATTCAGAGCAAGTTCAGCAAGTTGCTCTGAATTTACCCAGCTATGGAGGACAGCTGATTTCGTTTGAGCTGTACAAGAGACAATCTTATTTTTGCTTTCCCTAGGATTACGGTAAGCTTGTCAATCAATGCCCAGAGGCAGTCTACACGACACAGTTGTGCCAGGTAAGAAATGCACTTGACAAACTGTCATAATACCCATTTCTTCTGCTCCTCTCTTTTAACCAGCCCTGACCACTGGAGGAATGCTGAGCATTTCAGGTTTGTATGGACCTTAAGCTGTTAGTCATATGTCACAATCAACACAGCAGCTTAAATGACAGCAATTAAAATGGTTCTTTTTTCCCTTTTCATTAATTGATACAACAACCAACAGGCTGATGCACAAAGGGATAAAATAGCTGTCTCCTAAGAAAAAGAAAACTTGTTCTTTTTATTCTTGCCATTTAAATCCCCTGGAGCAGAATTGGCTATTGCTATAAAATCTGTGGAATTATCCCTGCTATTTCAATTTGCCAAGCCAGCCTTTTATCCCTTTAAACACAGGTCTTTAGAGTAACTTGCCAAAATAATCTCTTGGCACCACTGAGGTTAGTGTCCATGTTGTGCTGCTCATGTAACTTCCTTGCTCATGGAACTATTTGACCTGGGTAAGATTTTGACTGGGGACTTGCACTTTTAACTCTTTTTGCTGCCTTTCAAAATATTGCCTCGCTATCTTGTGGGAAATGGTCATAGCATAAAGTACCAGGGCAATGCTCGCTATGTAAAGAAATGTTTAAATAGAAATTATAGCTAGAAATGAAGGTGTGTAAGTAAAAGCCAAGAGATACCTTTCAAAAGCCAAGGACATACCTTTCAAATTTTCAGGGCAAAGAGGATCGTTTGGTCCTTTTGTTGGATGTAACTGGGCAAGGGAGAGAAATGCTGGGTCTCATATGATCTCAATTATACGCTGAGGGTGCCAGCAACTTTCAGGCTACGTGTGGATTCTTGACTGAGGCTCAATGTGTGAACTTTGTCACTAGAGGAGTATGTCACACACAGAGCTGGGACATGAGCCATCATTCACAATTCAAACAAACCCCAAGCCCTTCAGAGATTGAAAAGAAATGTGCAGTTAACCATAAAAACTGTGGCATGATTCTCCATACCCTAGTGCCCTCTGGGAACAGAAATACTTCAAGCTCCAAAATACGGCCCTTCTTGTGAGGCTTTCTGACTGGACTGGAAGCATCAACTGTTCAATCCATTGTACAAAATCCTGCTCTTTCACAAATCTCAGCAGTTTTTTTTCTAGACAAGGAGCACCACAGTTCTAGGCAATAGATGCAAATCTACATATCTCTTGATTTTTGGGGTGTGTTGGCAGAGAGTGTTTTTGGACGTGCCAGTGCCTGGAGGTCCGTGCATTGCCAGGAGCTTGGTGTGGAGCAAAGGGGCAAGTGCCAGCCATGGGATGGCTGGTTTGTACCAGCTGCAGCAAGTGTCTGTTCCCCTGCAAGTTTGAACAAGAAGATCCAAGTGAAAGAGATAATTTGGCCTTCAGATTGTGTCTCGGCTGTAGGGCTGTGAGACTTCACCTGTCTGGGTAAAGCCACCAGGTGGCTCAGGCAGCAACCTTGGAGCATTAGAGATTGTGCAGCCACCCCCATGCTCCCACTCAGACACCTGTACTTATTTTAGTTTGGCCTCACCATGGGGATGTTGTCGTGAGGAGCAATTTTTGCTGTTTTTCAGCAGGGAAGTATGCTTTGTGTTGTCTCTGGGAGTGAAGATAGGCTGGTTAGGCTCGCTACACGTTCCTACCTGAGCTGCATCTGGAAGGAGGGGGTCTCAGAGCAGTGTCCGTGTGCTCCTCTGAGACTGCAACCTCAGCAAGAAGCACAAACAACTGGGGAGGATCTTCTTCTGGCCAGCTGTGTGCTGGCAAATTACTGCTTTCATGATCAGCAATAAGGGTTTTGCTGCTGCTTAGAAATACACTGAAGGTTCAGATCAGGATGGAAATCAGTTCTGCATATGCTTATTCACATTGTATCTTCTTTTCTATGCATGAGGGCTCTTCATACCGTGTTCAGGCAGAAAAAGTCTGCTGTGGAAATCCATCATATCCTAGCAGTTAAGTCAAATTACTGAGAACTTGCTTACTTACCTAAAAGAACAAATGTGAACATATGGAGATTACTTTTTTTTTTTTTCCCTTAACCTTAGGAAGTACCAGCAAAGATTTTCATGTTAGTAAATTGTCATCTTCTTAGAGAAGAGCCTTATGGAAAAGTTAAGGGTGGCTTTATTTTGTATTTTTTTTTCCCTAATGAAAGATATGGTGGAAACTATTACAGCTTTCATCTTTATAGCTTGAAAATCAAAAGTAACAGCAGAGGAAGAAAGTGAGCACCAAAGATCAGGACTGAGTCACAGGAAAAACAACTTGGCTCCATCAGAGATTTCTTTGGCTTCCTGAAGTATTCACCTGCCCGTCCAAGCAAGAGAGTCATTTCTTCATTGACTCCTGTGTCTGACAGCTCAACCAACAGCTCTTGGAAGTGACCAACATGAGAATGATGTCTTTGCTTGTGAGGAACGCATCTGGGCAACTGCTTGTTATGCTTCTCTTTCCTGCTTGCTCTAACTCTTGGCTCCTTTTGACATAGAAGGGGAGAGGTTGGCACTTCAGTGTATGAAATGCCAGCTGGGATCAAATCAGTGTACAGCTATTGATTTCATCTTGTGCCTCAAAGAGCTGGGATTTTTCAGAGGAGGCAGCAAGGAGGGGAGGAGGGTGCTGTACCCACAGCTGCTCCACTGCCCTCTTCTTGGGGTGGTATGGATGCAGCCTGTAAATCCTGCTCTGCAGCAGCTGCATTTTATCAAATTAAGGCCTGTGCAGTGATTAGCGATGCTAAAGTGGCCTGTCGGCAGTGCGCTGGAGAGCAAATAACACGTTTTTATTTTTATACAAATGTGCATAACTTCATCCATTTCTTGTGGCTGCTCTGACAGGAAAAGGAAATTTATGACGCACATCACCCATTTATTTGGCACAGGCAGTGTTTATTGCTGAGGGAGGCATTCTCATGGAATTGATTGCACAATTTCCTCTTGGTGTACTGTTTTCAAGTAATATCCCAAGACCTCTGTGTGCTAAGATACAGGGACACTTCTTTAAGGCCTGCAGAATACTGCAGCAGAGGAAAAAAATAAACACACACAGTAGAAAATATAACTAAAAATGTAATTTTGATTACACTGTAAATCTGGGACTTTCTGCAGTCTGCTGGGAGTCCCTGTGGAAAAACCCATTCCCAATGGGTTAAATTTCTAGGTTTCTCTACAGAACTAAGAACACCTTTGGGATTATTGCTGGTCCATTTTCACAAGTATAGAAGGTGGCCTTGGTCTGGTGTTGGTTCTTGGTTCTGGTTTGTACCTCGGACATGCCAGGATTATGGGTATGGAGAGGAGGGAGAAATTCCGTGTTTTGGAAAAAGAGGAAAGTATATCCTTAGCATGCTGTCCTGCTGAAAGGGTGAGCTTGTTGCCTGTCGCAAGCGGCCAAGAGGTGTTGAAGCTATTAATGTCACAAAATGAAGGAAAAGAAGGGCTGCTGCCTTAATTCAAAGGACTGTGTCGCAGTATATATCTTATACACTGTGAATGCCACAAAGCACAGAGAGAGGGGGGAGCCGGAGAGGGAACATCTCTCCTGGAAGAGTTTAATTTTAATTTTTAATTTTCTCATATATATATTTGTATGTATGTATATACATATACATATATATAATATTATATATATGTTTTTATATATTTATTTTCTCATATATGTTTATTTATTTTTATTTTTTTATTTTTATTTTAATCTGCCCATGCACAATCATTTGTACCAAAGATTAGGAATGTCAACTGTCTCATTTGCACATGGAAAGACGCGGAGGGGGATACTTGCACACAAATAAGTAGCTGGTGATGGCGCTGGTTACAAGCGATCGTGGACTGAAGACTGCTGCCAGAAAATTCAGAGCTCTTTTTGGAAAAGGTGGCTCAAAGCACAGCGATGGAAGAACGATGGTGTGCACCAGCAGTTAAGAACAACAGCTTTTGCTCCCTTGCACTCCATACAAAACAGCAGCAGCAGCCCCGCAGCATGTCTACATGCCGAAGGTCCGTGCCTGCTCCTGGGAGTTACCTGATGAATAACTCCATTTTCCAGCTGCTCGGTGAATGGCTCTCCACCTACATCGCTCTTCTCGATTCTCCAAGGCAGGCCTGGCAGCCAGCGCAGCCTTAATTTTATCATTTCACTTCTCTGGTGACTCTGTCGGTTGCCGCTAATTTCCTGATTTTTCTTTCAGGCTCCAGAAGAAAGTGATCTCCTCCTAAGCATCCGTTCCTCACATTTCTGCATGGCAGTTACCTGTGGGCTGATTCCTGATGCTCCTCCTCAGGGCCAAGGCTGGGACCAGCCTGCGCAGCGAGGCACCGATCCTGCAGCTTGGGGTGGCGGCTGGGCAGCAGCGTGCTCTGCAGGTTTGTTAGCACAGAGGTGGCCAGCTCCCTGGTAATGTTTTGTACATGCCGACCTCTGAACTAGAAACAAGACTCAAACCTCAGAGGAGGCTGGTGATTAATCAAATCAGGGATCAACTGTGACTCAACCTTCAGATCACCAGCTGAGGTTGTGTCAATGGATGATTAAAAGAGGGAAATATATTTAGCTATTTACAGCTGTATCTCCCTCTGACTGAGGACAAGGCACCATGGATAAACATATTTATGTTTGTTAGATGTGCAAATTGTGGTTCCTTTGAAAACCTCACAGTTTATCATAAAGCCTCAGAAAGCACATGGCTGTTTATTGACGCTAGAGGACTTCCTGAGACTATGCTGTGGAAGTCGCTGCTCAGAGTATTTGACATGGGCTAGCGTGTCCACAAGGGGAATAAAGCCTGGGCGCAGCCATCTGCACATGAAAGACTAAAGGTGGCTTTAAGCAGTTCTCTGTAGGAGATAATTTTCTCTCTCCAATTAGGTTACACTTTCTAGGTGTTGTACTTCCAAAGACTACAGTGCTCCCCAGTCCAGCTCTCCTGCTAGTCAGGGGCGAACAGAACATATAAACTTCATGTTGCTAATATATTTCACAGTGCTGTGAGATATTAGCAAACTCCAAATAGCTGTCAGGACCTCGAGGTATTCTGGAACATCCTTTGATGCTACAAAGTAATGCATTTTCCATATTATTCCTTTGAACACATTATATATGCAAAGTCTAGCACTTCTTATAGGAGAGGTGGAATTATCATACAATATGATTTTTTTCTCTAGTTCTTTCATGGCTCATAACATATAAAATTTCTTCTTAAAATCCAGACTAGAAACTCAAACTTAATTTATACAGTATTGAAAACATTACAGGGCATAAATCAGTTCAATTTTTAAAGTTCCTGTATGATATTTTCAGAGCAGCCAAATTCCTTCATTTGCCTGGACTCCTTCCAAAATTCTGCCAGCGCTCATGGAAACCTAAATAACTTTGGAGAAAAAGCAGGTTTTCTGTGGAGGCTCAGATTACCCTGTCACCCTTCCTCTACTGCAGACAGGCCTCTGATAAACATGGAGAGCAGGGACAGGGAAATTACTTCATTACTTCGTGTCCTTTTCAATTACAAACATGAGGAGCCTGATCCTCCTGCCAGCTCACGCCCCAGACCCCTGCAAATTTGTGGCTTTCAAAAGCCAACGGTTGCATTTCCTTTGCCAGCAGGGATAAGCAATAGCAAGTGAGCAGGGGAGCTCCCTTGAATCTTATTTATGACGGTTGGTTAGAAAGTTTTGAAACTCAACTCTATTTATTTAAAGCATGAATCCAGCTGAAATGTGAGTCTATGAACTAGAGAAGTGATCGAAACAGGGCTTCAACTCTTTTTTTTTCTTTTTCCTGAGAATTAATCACTTGGTGGTGGTGGTGTTACTGTAATCTTCCTGTGATCGCTTAACCTGGAAGCTGTACTTCCAGCTATCTTCATAATATTCTCCTGCTGGCATCTTCAGATCTAGTATTTGTACTGTTCATTGGTTTTCAAAGAACATTAGGTTAATGCATTGTCTTTCTACTGGCTTAGCTTTGTGTTTTGCTTTATGCCTAAAGAAACAAGTGCATTTTCTTTGATGTCATTTTTTGATTATTGATGAACTAACATTCCAAAAAAAAAAGATAGGTTTAAGATCTTATTCTGAAACCTCCTTACTTCTACAAAAAAAACAAAACACCAAGAATCCTGAAACAAACAAGACACACGCACAACACATACAAAACAAAACAAAACAAAACCAAAACAAAACCAAAAAAAACCACAATGGTTTCAAAATGGTACTAGAGGGAAAAAAATATGGCAGGAACAAATCTGATTTTCTACCTTGAGTGTAAATCGTACAGGCTCAGCTTCAGCCCAGTGCTTTAGGTCTGTGTTAAAAGTCACTGAAACCAAAGCTGATGTTTGGGTTAAGATTCTGCAGTGTGGGCACAGGTACCTGCTACCTTGGGCTGGTCTGGTGGTGACCCGATCACCTCTGCAATTCTGATGGGGATGTTGGCACCGGCTGGGCAGTGAGCACTCCTCCAGCAACACAGAGCTGCAGGAGGCTGCAGAAAGTCCTTTCCAGCCACACTTGGCTGCGAGGCAGAGGCCAAGGCAGTGCAGAGAGGGGAGGGAGAAGAGGGCAGGGAAAAGGTTGGGGGTTCTTTAGCGTTTGGCAATTCAGGTTTTGCTTTGATAAGAATCCAAAAATTCAGGCATTCTTGTGAAATGAATCTGCTGTGGGTGTGGGTAGAGCAAAGAGCTGAACACATGGGAAGCCAGAGGCCATCCATAAGTTCTCACTACAGTTTTTTCCAGGTTTTACTTATTTCTTACTTACACATTGTTTGAACACTTCTGTTTAAGTCAGTGAGAATTTTTCTAACTGGAATTGAAGTGTGGGCTGGGGGAGTTGGTAGTTAGGAGCAGCATCTTTTTTACGCTCTCAAGTCTTCATCCTTTGGCTGGAACTCTCCTGGATTCAGACACGAGGGTGTGTGCGGCTGTGTGCATGTGTGCTTGCTTCTTGCTACTCTCTGCTACCTCTTGGGCCATAAATATTGCATGAACCACAACGGAGGCATGTCTAGTGCTGGTATCAGCCCAAAAGTGGAAGTACATAAAACAAAAAAATACCGAGGAAAAGTTCACCAGACTTAGAAACTCCCAGCTGGCCAGGTCTGGTCTTTGGGAGCTGGCTGGAATGGATGATCTATACCTGAAATAATTTCTCATACTCACTGACTCCCCGAGACATGATGCCAAAATTCTTTTTTTTATTTTTATTTTTTTCATAATGGTAAGGTCATAATGATGCAGATTTTTTTTAGTTAATGGAAAATTTGGATGCACTGTAAGTAATTTTTTCCCTTTAAGAAGGAAAACTGCTGATGGGCCCTCATTCTGTTTGCTGATGTATGGTAATGAAAGGCGTATCACCCCAAGAATGCTTATTGCTGTGACGAATCACAAAAATGGAGAAAGACTCAGTGCCTGCTAAATTTAGCTTGTGCAAATCCAGTACATCCAAAGTCCATGGAGTGAAATACTGTTTGGAGTAAAATATGATTGAAACGTTTCTGGGAATATAACTCCACTGGATAGTTTACCACCTGGACTTAGTTTTCATATTGTAGGAGATGAATTAAATTTTTATTATTTTTAAATTATAGCCACATCTCTCTCCCCCCCCCCCCCCCAGTATCAGTTCTCTTGTCTTCCCACTGAAGCAAGCACTGTTAAGCTGCTATAACTTTAAGAGCATGAAAGCAAATGTTGTAAAGAGGTCACTGTAAAGGTCACGCAGCAGGTTTGATGTGTCAGTGGATAAATGATGGGATCACATCTGGAACAGTTTGGTGAATAAATAAAATGTGAAAGCTCATATATCACTGCCCACCTTCCAATCTGTAAGGGAAAGAGAAAATAAATTCTCTAATAACCTTGTAAAGCACATAAAAGATATTGAATAAACTCTTGAAATTTTGTGACTAAAACTGTCCATATTAAATAATGATTTTAAGAGTGGCAAAAAGCTTGAAATACAGTATGAGTCTTCCTCGTAAAATGTTGTTTTATTTTATGGTTTATTTATTAGACTATACTTGGATAGCTTTGAAAAATATAATTTTAAGTTTAACTATGTGTTATTGAAACACTCTTCCTTTAGATATGTCCCCCAGAGGTATTTTATATTTACACTTAGGGAAAAGAATTTTCAATTTTTATTACACGGTGCTGTATTATTGCTTATACTGCCACTATATTCTGCCTTCCACAAGTAACATTAAGATATGCATATTTTACTGCCATTACCTTCAAAAGGCCTTAGAAAACCCATAGGTCTAAAACGATCTCTCTAAGTTGGTCATTACTGACTATTGAATTAAGATACAACAGGCTGTACATTGTTTTACTGGGCCATTAATAATAAGCTCCCGCGAATTGTGAGACAGCAAGCTAGAAACTGAGTAATTTCAGTCACCCAAGAACTGCGCAGGATTAATAAAAGGCTTGTAGAAAGCCGTTCTGGAGTGGGAATGCCTTTGGTGTCTGACGAGGGACGAAAGGCAGCGGGTGGGTTTTGATCTCAGCTTCCTGCAGGCAGCTCCTCGTGGCGTGACTGGCAAGGGCTCGTGCAGCCGAGCAGGCAAAATGTCACACTCGTCTAGAGAAATTATACATGCAGATGTATGTGTGTGTGATGTACAGTTGCTCCCAACAGCTACAGATAGAGGTGATTTTGCTGATTTTTTTTTCTTCTGAAACAGACATCTGCAATGCCCTGGCCGTACCCTGCAAGGCACGCAGATACACAGACACCCACGATGAAGTCGCCAGGGCCCTGGGCAAACATCAGGTACACCCGGACACAGGCGGCAATAGCAGACAAGTTCTTAAAAAAAGTCCTGTCACTCCCACCGTTTTGCTGGGATGAATGAAGCCAGTGCCCAGTTCAGGCATGGAGAAAGTGTCCATGGGCTTCATGGTCGGAGCAGCAAGGTGAATGGCACTGGTGGTGGGCACGGATGTAGGGAAGTGTGGGGTGGGTGACTGGGGCACCAAGGGGTGCTATGGGGCTGCTGAGATGTGTGGGGGCTGTTGGTGCTGGGATAGTTCATGAAGAAATCTGAAATGTTATCATCTGATGCTTGTTTGACTCCTACCTTTGGTTAGTGTAGCGCAAGGCATTTAGCATTCGAGATAGATGATGGAACAACAGCTAAAAAACAAACCCAAACAACAACAAACCCCGACCTTATAGGCAAAGTCTAAACAGATTATAACCAGAAATACAGCTTTTATTCTGGAAGACTACATTACCGGTAACCTTTAACCTGATCTGTGGCAGGACTTAGAAATTGCAGATCACCTTGTACCGTTGCTAGAAATCACTGAAACTGATGCCAGAAGGCAAACTGATGACTTACAAGAAAGCTTTCTTTCCCCAAATAAGATCTGATGGCAGATAAGTGAGTCCTGCAATTTCTTTAATTCATTTATTAAGCTCCACCTTAAAGTGAGCATGGTTTCATGTCCCTATAGGACAGCTGTTCTAAATACCTTATTCCTTTGATGAGCCGAAACCTCGTCAAATATCCAGCTCATACTTCATAGCCAACTCAGCTCTATTAAACTTTTGGCAAATGTGTGGTCATGTGGTCTCTGAAGACAACCATATTTACTACTACTCTCCCCAGCTCTTTTGCCTCAAAGGAAAGTTAATTTAACTTACAGAGTCTTGTGCTTTAGAACTGATTTCTGATTCCCTGGGCAGATCGGGAAGTCTGTCTGGTTCCTGCCACAGGAACTTGGACCTGTCAGGTGTTTTATTATTATTATTATTATTTATTTTTATTTTTTTCCTTTCATTTTCCAGTGAAGGCTTCTAGTTACTCTAAGGACAAAGTGGAGCATGTGAAACACTGCACAGAGAATGACAGGACAGTGGCACGACTGACTCGGGCAGAACGTGACACCTGTTCTAAGGCAATAAATGTTGTAAAGGCAACATTTTTTTTTAGCAGAGACATGCGATGAGGTGCCATGTTAGGATATTCTTGGCCTGTAGCAGTGGTCCCTGAGTTTCTCTGCAGAAATGAAATTTACCTTTTACTCAACTTCATTCAATTTATTATTTTTTGCAAGCTGAATTCTATTCATCCAGACTCGGTCTATCTGAGGGCCTGCAGGAATCAATGTTTTTCTCTTCCTTTTCTCTTAAGGTTTCTCTATAAAGTCCCTTTTTCTTGTATTGCCTTTTCAGAGCCCACCATCGCTGTGACCATCAATAAACCTTCATGAATTAACCTGTTGAGAGGAGGGATGGGAGAATCTTACATTGCAGCTGTAAGATTAAATGCTGCTGTTGAACCCTGGACAATTTCCTGCCACTAATCTTTTGGTCTGACTAATATAGCTAGATATATTACTCAAACCTTTCAGTGATGGAAATCATACCTGGATCTGGTAAGCAGAGAGGTAAGAAGACTGGGTGATAAATACTTTAGAAAGAACTATTTTTGACAATATATTTGGCAACTTTTTGGGAATATGTGTGATTTATAGATGTCACCTTTGCACTGAATTATTGTTAAGCACGCAGTCTTGTGGGAAGTCGACGGTGAAGCTGGGAAGAAAAGCCAGGAGCCCTAATTTCACATCTCTGTTTCTGACCATGTCTTTCTATCCTGGCATGGATCAGTGTCTCTCAGATTTCATTGGTGGTTTAGCACATAAATATGACAGGTGATCTGGACCTAATACTGCAGTGCTTTGCCCCACTGATACCCTCGCTGAGCACAGCAGTTGTACTTTTGGACCCAGTTACTAGTTTCCTGTGGGATGTCTTCAACTTCCCTGCACTTTTCTGAGAAGTTTTATTCTTGAGGGAACGTCTGGGTTTAGAGACATGCACAGCAGAACAACTGTTCTGCTGGAATATGGTTTTAATCAGAGTGAAACAATGCTTCTGCTAATTACGTGGTATACTGTGTGACAGATGAGATCCTATGCTGTTTCCTCTTTCAGACTATGCAACATCTCGTATTTTCTCTTCCCTGCCAGAAGTCATCAAATCTTTTTGAAATTCAGTTCAACAATTGCCCTTTCAAATAAAGAAGAGGTTAACAGATCATACTGTAGGCTGAAGAAAAAGGAGGAAAATTAGATGATTGAGGAAGGAAATACTAATCCTTCAAAATTATAAAGATCATGGCAAATAAACTCATAAAATAAGAGCTGATGGCATGTTGTTAGGAGATCCAGTCATTTTCATTTTGAAACATTTCAGCACATTTACAAACTGTGGTCAGCTAAACACGCCGCTAAATGAATACCTGAAACATTTTTAGCTTTTCCAACTTGGTTCTTGCATCTGGCTTTTCTGGGGGTGGGAGTCAGTCTTTGCAAATTTACTGTATAGGGAATAACATATATGAGGTGAGACGTGATGCATGGCTAAGGGGAGGATCAGACCAATAATCCATTGTAGGGCTACATTATGGTTCTGCAACCCACCATCCATCTATGTCAGGTGGGTATGCTACAAATGGGAAGTGGTAGCCATTGAAACATGTAAGATTAATAGGTGATGTGTGTGTTAATCACAGGATCATAGATGTTGGGTTTGGAATGGTCTTTATAGATTGCTGAGTCAAATCGCCAGGATCTCTTGTGGTTTATCCCAGGTATTTTCCCTCTGAGAGTGCTCGCTGGCGTCGGCTGGAATGTGTCTGTTGATAATGGTTGCGCGGCTCCTCTCTTCAGACCACTATGCTGCTGAATTACTGTTCCTCTTGGAAAGTTTTTTCTTGTTATCTAATCTAAACTTGCCCTTCTTTAATTTAAAGCTATTACCTCTTGTAGTACATTGCACTTGGCCAACCTCAAATAAGTCTGTCTCATCCTTTACATTATTCCCTCTCAAGTATTAATTACCTCCAACACTTCTCTTTATTTCTCTAAGCTATTTAGGTTAACTTGCCTTAACCTTTCTTCGAACCCTCCTCTCAAAGGTTAGCGTTAGCTGACATATTGTCTTGAAAATGTTAACTGTTGCTAAAAGCACTTCTTATAGAGCACGGTTCCTACGGAGTGTGCAGCCAGATAAATACACGGTGACCTTTTTTTCTAGGAGCTCTCATAGACATAACATGGTCACGTAGGTGCTTCTTAACTACTGACTTTCCCAACAATGTACTTGGTGCTCTCTCCTTTTATTTGTTAGACAGAAATCAGGGTTAACTTGAGAGTAAAGGAACTGACCTGAAAAGTACCCGATACAATCGCTCAAAACCTAAAGTGAAAAACCAAGAGAAAGGTGTATATTCGCTGTGGTAAATTCTCAGTTTTGAAATTCTGGGGACCAAATTCTGTCCATTAATGCCTTGCAGATCAGCGAGGAAAACATGGCACAGCACAGAGGGGTTAGTGTTGTACCCTTCGCTTTTGGGGAGGTCTGACAGAGTAAGGCTTTTGCAGTCTTGGCTCTCGTGGAGTAAGGACACTTCAAGTCAGATTGGTGGAAACTCAATTACGTGACTGGGGTTTGTGACTGAAGTGAGCTTCTGAACCACAAAACATAACTGCTTATAGAGTCACTAGACTGGAAGGGAGGCTGGTAAGAAACCTCTTCATCTCCATCCTGGCTTTGGAAGGACAGGGCATTCGTGCTTCCAGAAAGGAAGTGACACCTACAGAGGGAGGTGTCCATGCTCCCTTGGGCACGTGGACTATTTTTGCAGCTTCTGGTGCAGGACACTTATGGAAGAAGTGATGTGAGGGTATTTCTGCTTATTTTACTTCAAACTGGCTGGAATCTTGTCCATAATAAAGGATCATTAATTCAGGAGGAGGAAGTTTTGCTGTACTAGTCTGAGCAAGGCACATACAGACAGGAGAAATTATGTTATCCCTTTAGCAATCTAGCCATTAAACTCCACATGGGAACATCTGTTTCCTTCATATTCTTTGCACAGGACGGGAGTTTTGCTTTCAAAGACAAGGAGCTTTGCTATCACGTTGTATATTTTATTCTTTTCCCCTCTTCCACTTCTTCCAGAGGAGCTTGGAGGTGTTAAATTTAATACCTGTCAGAAAAGAACCCATCTCTCACAACATAGGGTTCTTGTGTTGCCTTTGAGACCTTCCAGTGTTGCTTGTGTCAAGAGGGAATTAAAAAGTTCAAACTGATGCAGACAGGATGAGAAATGTCTGAGGTTCTGGCAGGATGGTTTATGTTCACAGTTGTTCCCAAGCCAACAAAATTTGGGGACCGCTTTATTTCAGGGAAAGTAGGATCTGTGAGCAGCCACCTCCATCTCATACACATATCCAGTTTGCTGGCTGACAAAAGCCACATATTCAGCGTGCCCATTTTCCCCTGCGCCTAACAACAAGCTCCTTAGGATCTTGTTTTAGAAGCATATGAGCACTGGTAAAACTGAAGTTTGCTGAATTCTTGCCCAGAGCTTTTCTGACTCATCATCTGGTATATTCACATGTAACTCATTTTCTCAGTAAATCTTTACTCCAGACCTCAAAGTAGATGCAGGAATGAATGAAGAGCTGCTGTTCCTTTTCTCAAAGTTTCTGTGGAAACAGATTCTTTCCTATTTCTGTGGGCCTGACTGCATTCTCAAGCCCAGTGCTGCTCTTTGTGCGGTTTTAAATCCAGTACCTGACAATCTTTAAAAGCTGAAGAATAAAGGGAAATCCCTGTAGTAGTCCTGGGGCTGAAATGATCCAGTGACAGGTGGTAATTTGGTGTAAAAAGGCAAATGAAAGTGCATTTATGAATGTGCCATTCTGCTGGGCAGATGAGAAAAGCACCCTTTTTCTTTTCACTGATTTTATGTGCCGTATTATAAAAAAAAAGAAAAGAAAAAGAAAAAAAAAATCAACCAAATTCCGATCTTTGCATGAACTGTTTTAACCTTGCAATAGCTGCTTACTTTTCTTTTTCTGGTAGAAACCAGCTGGCATCCTCTCCTGGTCACAGAAGAAGCATGGAGAGGTTGTGAGATTGCCCCAGGTCTGGCTAGTTTAGTGATGGTGCTTTCAGCTACAGGCTGTGAGCCTTGATCTCTTGCTGCACCGCTGTTTCCTTCCTCAGGTGGGCTACGTCCCTGCAGTCACAAACCAGTGATCTCTGCTGGGTTAGTGTAGTTTCTGGAAGGAGTTCACTAGGGAGAAGATTCGATAATAATTTTGAACCCTAAAGCTGAAGCACATATGGGTGATACTTGGCTACTGTACGCTTTGTTATGCAGAAACAGCACAATGGGGGAAGGACACACGAGTGAATATGCTAACGAGAAACCCTGGAGAATCCCTTATTTCACCAAACTGGGAAGAAAGTTGGAGGAGTGAATTCTTTGTGTCTACTGAATGGAGACTGCTCTCCCTTCCCATGGAGGAGATGCAAGAACCTTCTGCAGGTTTAGTATACCCAGAAAGCGTTAAAAATTCAGTGTTGAAAATAGCTGGCCATGGTGGTTGCGATGAGACCTCTCTGTCTGGGCACTTGAGCCTGCACATCCACAGCAGTATGGGTACCAAAGGAGCATGTATTTGAAGCACAGCTCCATTTCCCACTCTCTGGGTTGCTCTCTGTGGAGAGGGAAGCAGCAGAGCTGTGGTGATCCTACTGTTATCACTCACACCAGGCACCCACATAGCAGAAGCATTGTTTGGTAAAGAAACCTCCTTTGAAACATTCCCAGAACTCCAGATTTTGCAAACCTCCTGGTGTCTGCCAAGACACATGCACTTTTAGTCCCCCAGGAGCTAGAAATCACAGAATCATGCGGAGCCATCTCCAGAGGATCATCTTTGGCATTAAATGGGGAACGATTGTTCAGGCAGAATGTGAGAATGGAAAAAACAAATGTGGCACCCTCTTGAATGGGTTGATTTATGAAAGCAGGAGAGTTGGGAAGTACAAAGTTGCCTTCTGGGACCAGCCAATTTCATGTTTTCGTTGCTTGTAAATAAGTGAGTTTCAGATAAATGCACCCATCTAGCTGAGTGCACGTTTCGAGGATTAAGCTAGTTTAAAAGATTTAGGAGGCTGCTGCGCCAAGTTCATGTTTTTTAAGAGTGAGGACTGCCAAGCCCAGTGGGTGTAAGAGCTACTTTGGAAGCACTTTTATGAACTATTCCTGATGCATATCTTCAAAATATTTAAAGCAACACCTGTCATAGACCATTCTCTCTTTATCCTCTCTTCATGCCAAGTAATGGAGCCACATGGTTTCTACAACTGAAATAACTCTTGGAATACAACATCCTGAAGCTTGGTGTGCAGTATACATTGGCAGGACTTCTTTTTCCCCTTTTTTTTCTTTTTTTTTTTTTTTTTCTCTAGGATTACTACATATTGGGTACGAGTGCTAATAAACTGCTTGGGAGCCACTATTATCGTGTTAATCTGGATTTGGCATTGTAAGGATATTAAAACTATTCCATTATCAGCCTCGTGAATGTAAAATGGCATGGACTTTTAAATATTTACATTACTGTGAGCTGCAGCCCCAAAGGTATGAGGGGGCTGTACTCGGGCCTCCCACAGTGGAGTCTCAGGCGTAAAGAGGGATTTATCCTCCTGACTATGCAGGATTATCACATCCTGTCTCTCTATATAATGAGCGGAGAATAGGCAATTGTGTTGGCTACGTTAGGGACTCGTAGCAGCTGATACTTTTTTTCCACTGATTTTAGTGGAAATGGGGTCTGAACAATTTGTTAAGCCCTTCTTGCTGTTCTGAATGCAGCTGGCTGAATAATTTCTCACTTGGCATCTTAGAGGACAGGTCTGAACCAAGGTCAGACTGTGGAGAGCTTCAGCTTGGAGTTCTCTGGGTCCAGTCTTCAGGCTTCCTTACCTGTTTCTTACCCAGAGAGTGTGTAATGAAAAGGAAAGCTGTTAGTGGGACAGTTGTTCATACAAGCACCATCATAATCTTTTAGGGCAATTCTAGCCATTTTAGCAAAGAATTATTTTTGTCGTGCTCCATACCTGCTGGCTGCAGGCTGGGGGCAGCTGGCACAGCACAAAATCTCTTTTCTGATGCAGAACCTGCATCAGCACCGAGCGCACTGCAGGCCATGTGAGCGGTAATATGTAAATCATCATTAGCAGATGTTTATTGTTTCTTTTCAGAAAATCAGATTTGACTAATCAGCCTAAGTGAAACATATGCTGAAATTAATTAAAGTTTGTTTTAAAATAATTTGCATGCTTATTGCTTTTAACTGATTGTAATTGGGGCTTTTGAATACTTTTTAACAAACCGAGTCACCTAGGCTGAGCTTTTCAAAGCACTGATTGGCATGTCACCATACATCTTCCTCTAATATTTAGCTGCCTGAATGACCTGCGTCGCAACAAGTCCTCAACCCCACAGTATCGTAGGAAAAGGAAAGAACATGTCATTGTTTCCTATTATGCCATGGTGGTTTTTGTAATGAGCACAATTGCTGAGATCTGTGTGCCATGATGAAAGATCTGATGATTACAGATTAACTGAAGACAGCAGAGCTTTTCTGAGCGGAGTTGACAGTGTGGTTAAGCATCATGTGTGGTGGGAGGTCTCGTTATTTTGGCAAGATGGCTCACCTGCAGACGTACCTTAGAGACAGCTCTACCATCCCCCGGCTAGAAGGGGTATGTCAAGAGGATCAGAGGAGCCCGTGGCTTGGCACTGCCCTGCAGCAAGCTCTGCCTGGCCGTGCTGCCTACGTGCTGTCTGACACTGTGGCTGGAGCCGCAGGGAGCCAGCTGGCTCGCAGGCAGGGAGGCTGAGGGTGGGAAGGGACTGGCGGCGGCTCAACTTCTGCCCCAACAGGCAGCATGGCTCGCCTGGCTCAACCCACTGGTCTCTGGGAGCCCGGCACAGCAGCCAAAGGCAGCAGGGACCTTGCCAGAGCACGCGGGTGTCTCGCTCGTGCTCCCAGCCAAGGCGCCTGGGTCCTGTGCCCAGCACCGCTGCTGGCTCCTGCTTCACGTTGGGCAACTCGCTCCTGCCTCGCTCCCCACACTTTGGCCAGCTGAAGTCGATTTTGGGGTCCAGGAGCTGTCTCTTTGATAACAGCCTGCACATGGGGGCTTTGAATGGGGCATGCTGTTAGCTCTGGGCACCTCACTGGGGGCCAGTGAACTGCGTGCTCCAGGCTTTACACGGGCTCCTTAATGGTCTCCAGGTGGAGCTGAAGGTGTTGGTTATGACCTATAACTTCCTAAAGGGCCTGGGGCTGGCCTAGCCACGGTACTGCCTCTCTCTTCAATGTGCACTGCCGTGGTAGGCAGGAATGGGCTCCTTTCTGGAAGTAACAAGGTGATCAGCAGTCTGCACCCAGGCCTCAGGGACTGGCCTCTTTCCCCCACCTCCATGTCTTTGGTTTGAAGGGACTGGAATTTGGTGACAGGGCTGGCTCCAGAAAATATGTTTGAGTGAATCTAGAATGCCTGGGGAGCAAAAAGCTGTCTGGTCAGCCAGCTGAGCTCCAGTGAAAGAGGTGCCAGTAAGCTGGAAATTAATTTCAGTGGCAGTTTGATTTAATTGTATTTAGTCTCATACATCTAACAGCCCCGATCTGGAAACTCTAAGTAGTCCTGAGGACTCAGGCTTCTCGTGTGCTGAGCGGGCCCTTCTGTGGAGCTGCGTATCAGCACCGTGCCACTGATAAATCCAGTTCATGCCAGCAGAGGATTTGTCTCGCCAGCACTGCTTACTCCGCGGTGGAATTTGCAGGGTTAGTGCAGGACTCGGTTTGTTCTGCTCATTCATTAGCTCCCTTAGATCTTCCTCAGACCACACTGAAGACAAGAGGCACTTATTAAGAGCAGCAGTTTGTTTCAAGTGCTTTCTCATAAGTTTTCAAATCTTCCTGCTATAATGTCACAGCATCACTGGCTCCTGTGATGGAGAATAACAGTGGTTCATTAGGCTCATAAATCCAAAAGGAAGAAAGACTCTCCTGGAGACATGAGTAGCTTTATAACAAACAGAGCAGCGGGAGAGTCTGCAAATTATCAGCTCAATGCTTTATAAGCATTTTATCATCAGTTGGGGGAAATTACAATAAAGAGCAACGAGTAAGTGAAGCATAAACTATGGCATAAACATGCCCCGTGTTCTCCTCCGTCCACATTTCATGTAAAAGTGTATTTGGAGCCATGGCACTAGGGGGAGAATCCGGGACAGCTTCAGAAGCTGTTCCCCACCCAGAGACTTGCCCAAGCTGAAAATTACAGAGGGTTATATGTTATAAGGACAAATTCCAACAGAAGAGAGAAAATATATGCAGTATTTAACAATCTCTCCCTATTATTCCATTGCAAGTGCAGCATGACAATGAGCTTGATAAGATGTTTACACCCTCTCCAACAGTTTTGCCACTACCACATTTTTAAGTGTGCAGCTTTGATTTACGACTAGTGATACTAAGATCCCAGCCTGTAAATTTTTACAGCAAGCAGACTTGAATTATGTGTTGAGTCTGCTGCACTGGATCAAAAATGCTCAGAATGCTCTCTGGGAAGATTTAAATGTGTACGGTCTCTAAGCCATGGAAATATTGCTCTAATGTGCCTATGTGATTTTTAACAGATTGTGAGTTCAAATTCATTTATCAGCTGATGTCTAATGAGTTTGGCAGGCCCTTAATACATTAAGTATAAGAAAAACTATGAGCATAATGATGTAGACTGAAGAGAATTTAATGAACAAATAAGTGACCTTCACATTTATGTGAGATAAAGATTTCATGCCAAATTTTGCATAATATACACTGGAAATAATGGGATATTTATTAGATTTCTTCTCTCCTTTTTCTTCTTCTTTAAACAACACTTTTTCTTCTTTTTGCAGAGCAGACCTATGTCATCCATGGATATGTGGCTGGGGAGAGTGCAGCTGGCCTGCAGTGGCTAAACCTTTTAATTCTACCTGGGGGAATCTGATTGAGCAAGGGAAAGGCGTAAGTCATCCACACCTGCTTCAGAGTGGCAGCTGCACTGGAGGTGAGCATGTTTGTCACACATACGGGAGTTCACCTCGGTGCCTCCACTGCCATAACTGCCTAGCACTTCTGGAAAATCACGTCACCCATTTTGATGCATGAATATGTACCTAGGAATTTAATTACAGGTGTCTGTCTTTGTAAAATGCATGCCAGCATTATGGCCTGAATCCCACTCATTTCACTGTGTGGCGTGTCCCAGCTAGTGCCTACTAGGGACTGGCTCCGGTACCTCTGAAGGCTGAGGACATGTTGATCTCAAGAATGTAGTTGAAGTTGGCTGGGTCTGGGCTTTGTTTCAGGGCCTGCTTTGACTGATGAGGGTAGAGGAGCAGAGTAAGGCTCCAAAGGTGCAGGTGTTGGGGATGGAAAGCTGTTAGATCAGTAGGCGCTGTCTCCACAGCTTGCCCCATCTCCCATGGGAGCAGCCAGTCCTCTGATCTGGCCCAGTGTGCCAGCTGGAGACTGGCAAGCCTGAACAACAACCCACACCTCCCCTTGCCTCCGTCCACCTTTCCACAAACTGCCTGCCCACGTGAAGCCTGGTAAATAAATTCTTGTACTGAACTGACTTGCAACAGAGAGACGGGATGGCAGTAAAAACAATAAGCTGTTTCTTGGGGCTGTGACACTGTGCTTTCATTAAAAAGTAACCAATGCTGAGGTTATTTCCACCAGAGACAATGGGATTTTCACTGAGGCAGTCCAACTCATTGAGAAGAAAAGAATCGTAATCTGGTCATTAAAAAGGAAACAGGGCAGGGGGTAGTTTTCTGACTGAGGCATGTGGTAGGAAAAATGGTATCTTATTTACCTTGTCCAACCCCCCTTTTTTTTTTTCTTGTTTATGTGGGAGCAGCAAAACCTGACTTCATTTTTCTATTTTAGATGATCTGTGGCTTTGCTGCTTGTCCTGCAGCTCGGCAGGTATTACAAACTGTATTTCCAGCTAATGAAGTAGGAGTGAATAATTTATTTAATGTGTCAGACATGGCAGAAGGCACTGCAGCCAGTCACTGCGCATGAAGCTAATTGCTGCACTAAGAAAACAAATCTGTGCAAGTCCTCATTTCAAAGTTATTTCCAAGCATTAACTCAAAAGTTATTTCAATAACGAGGCCTCTTAACAGAAGCATCACTTTTCATAGCACACGGCATAGCTCTGTTGACCCTCCAGTGCTGCTCTGCTGGGTGAAGCGTAGTTCAAACAAAACTTTAACCGTAAAACTTGGGCAAGGGGGAGGCTGGGCAAAGTCTGTGATTAATTAGCAATTAGCAGTATTGAAATGCAGCGAGAAGGGAAAGAATTCATTCTATGCAGAGATTTTTGAACCCCTTGTTTGCTAAGAAGTGCTTGTGCTGAAGTTGTGGGTGCTTGGCAGGGCTGAGAGTTGGATGGTCGGGCAACCTAGCAGGAGGAGCTTTGTGGTTTACATGAGCAATGGTTTAGAAGCCCACCTAAGCGTACTTTTTTTCATTGTAGTTGCAAAATTTGAACACGTAGGTGAATTCACCAGAGAGCCAAACTCTTCCCTCAGACACATGCCTGGGTGCATGCTGACAGTGAAGCACTGTGTTGAGCAAGGGAATGGTTGGATTGCCTTCGGGTAATCCACGCCTACCCTGAGCCTTTGCAGACCCCCTTTCTAAGGCACTTAAGGGGTGTCCTGGCTTTGTGCTGGTCTTTTACAGACAGGGAGTTTCCCTGTCAGTAAGAGTGATTCCTGCTATCTCTTGCCTGATGCAAACAAGATAAGCAGTATCATGGGTTTCCTGACACTCCAGTAAATGGAAACTTGTAGCCCTATCCCTCACTGAGCAAAGTGGTCTGGATGAGGAAGGAGATATATCACAGACACACTTCTTCAATCTTTCCGTCCCACTTTCTTGAGATCTTACACAGACCTCAAGAAGTCACACTTCAAAGTCACACTTGGCTTATCTCTGAGAGATTTTAGGGGTATTTCCCAAATCATTCCTTAGCCTCCTAATGTGCTGAAAGGAATACCCACTTATGGAACAGAAATACTGATGTGAATTATGATTTACAGGAAGCACTTAGGCAGCAGATAGCAGGTAACAGGAAAATGATGAGATAGAAGCCTGCTCCTGCTCACCTTGGCTGCTCTGGGATGTGGCATGGTGAGATGAGGTTTGCTGCCTCCGCTTGCTCTGCAGCCAAGGGATGTGTCAGCCCTGGTGTGAGCGAGTGCAATGCCATCAATTCCCATTTGCATTTGATTACACCAAGACTGAAATTGGTCCATGGTGTTTTACTGTATTTCTTTATTTGATTTTATTTTATTTCTGTTTCCTATACCATAAAGCTGAGCAGCTGAACCATGCAGTGTGTAGCAATTTACAGTAAACCCTCCTTGTTCGGCTCGGTAATGGATGGAAACAATTCCGAAGTTAATGGTATTAGTGAGGAAATACAGTCATTCTTAACCAATCTTGTAATGCCCTTTTGGAAAAATGATACTTCAGGCTACTTTTATCATTTGATTTACAAGTCACAAATTTGTGCAAGAAACTTGACTTTAAGTCAGTCACACACCTTATAAACTGAGCAGGGCCGGTTCACAAATGATTTTACAGCTCCATACACTTCCCTGGAGGAGCCATCTCCTTCCTGCTGGCCAGACACATTGCCTTGAAACAGCTGCCAACTTTTTAAGAGTTCCTTTTTGGCTATATTCTTCTTTTCTTAGCAGCATTCATGGCCCCAGCCCAGGTTCATAAGGAACAAAGTGTAAAATTAATCAATGGATTGATACACTGTTTAGAATGAAAACAGCCCAGTTTTGGCTACATTTTCGGCCCCTGCAGCCAAAGGAGTGCATGTGTGTACATGAAATGTAATTTAGTTTTTCCTTTGCTGCCTGTTGATTTTCCTCTAATTCATTTTCCTTTTGCCTCTTATTGAGTCTCCCGTGTCTGGGTAAGTTTAACCCCACGCTGCCTGGTCCATGCAGCACACAGCAGGCAGAGGAACCCGGTAGGTGGGCCCTGGGGTAGCTGCAGGCTTCGTTAGCTGCTGGAAGTGATAAGACGATATCCAGGAAAAGGTCTGTGTGAGCACAGCAGTCTGCAAGTGAAGCCTTTGATAGGTAAAATCTACCTGGAGTTTTAATGACTTGTAAAACCCTGAGAAAGCCTCTCGCCTGATATTTATTGCTTTGAATGTCTTCCAAATGAACTTTATCTCACCTGGAAAAGGTTAACATGGATTTGGAGCTGAGTAAATCTAGCTCAGCCTTTCTGTGTACATATATGCCTTCAGCTGAACCTGTTAATACCCAAAGCTGTTCCTCACCTCCATGGACAGAAGCCACAACCTCTCTGTCACAAGGGGACGTAACTCGAGGCTCTGTTACAGAGCTCTGGTGCCTAAACTTACACATTCACACTTTAAAATAACACCAGTGATTATTAATCAGACATCTTGAAGCAGAAAGCAGGCGATGTAGTGTCTGAAGCAAGAGGAGGGTTTAGGGGGGGCACTGGGTAATTGCATATATTTCACAGGCTCCAACGAGCCCTTTTCAGACAGGTGAAAGTTGACAATAGCTCTATTGGTAACTTTAATTTTGGAAGTAGTTGGTCTGGGAAAAAGTTAATCATATTGTAGGCACTGTCTAGCGCCACTCAATCTTGTTTCTATCACTCTCAAAGTCATGTATTTTTAAAAATACCAAAACCAATTTAAAAATACATCTAACAGTAATCACTTCATTGGAAACAACACACTGCAATAACATAAAACAGCAGCCACTTTCCTGGGAAGATTTATGAGACAGACTAGTTTTCTCACGACTTATGTTATTCCTGCCTTATTGTTTTGTCAGCATTGGATATGGAAAGTGGATGATATGTGAACACTCTCTGGCACTAGGAAGCTTTAGAGTTTTGATTAGGTAACAAAATTGAAAAAGTGAGTTTGCTTGCCCTGTTCAATCTCTGTGATTTAAATTTGGGTATGACAAACACACTGAAGAAGCACGCTGCCCTCTCCTGCAGCTGCACCTTGCGATGGGACTCCGGTTCTCAGGGATCCCGTCCTCAGCCTGGTTCTGAATTTCCTCTGGAAATCCAGTGGGACTGTAAATATCAGAGTCAGATGCTGGCCCTGAAGGATGACGAGAGGTAAAAAGATAGAGATGGAGAACAAATGGAGAAATTAAGACATTTCAGGGCATGTGAAAGCATTCTGAAACAGTTCTTGTGATCAAACCAGTGAGGAATGCTCACACTGTGACCAAGGGAGCTGGTTCTCCCATGTCTGTGGTGGCCAACTGCTGCCTGACCCTTAGAAACCAACAGCCTGAGATAATGATGAGGGGCAGAAATGAGGAGCCTGGGAGGGAAAAAGTCCTCAGTAGATGCCGGAGGGACATTGCAGCCTGTGAACGCCTGGGGAATTCAGGGCAGCGTTGGTCACTGAGGGGGCAGAAGGTGCCTGGCTGTGGGGCTGCTTGGTGGGATGCGTGCTGCTGCCTCTGCCTTGGAGGTTTCCAAGTGCGAGCAGACAGCTGGCTTTCAGCACTTCATGCGTGCTCTGGGTTCACTCCCCCACCCATCCCATCAAACCAGAAGCCCACCCGAACGTTGCTTCAAAACCTCTGCTAGATAGTTGGTGCATAGTGTTATGTGCTTGCACATAACTTATACAGCTTGCACATCCTTACACAGAGTGCCTCTTACATCTCCAAAAGTAAAACAAAGAAGCATGTTATCTGTGGCTCTTAAATCTGCACAAGTCCTAGAAACGAAATTTAATTCATCCATATGCTTACTTATATAAATTTATATACAGAGAGAGAAAGGCATAAAGAAATGGAGAAATAAATAAATAAAATGGGGTTTTCTGTATGCAGTTTACCACCTTGGGACCTATTACAAAGCACTTTTATTATAATCATACAAGAACCAACAGTATGAAAATGCACTTGTCTCATGTATTATTGCTGTTGTGTTCTCACACCTTTTAGTCCACTTCCCCTGATGACACACCCAATGGCTCCTTGCTTAGGCTTTGTGTAAATTAACTGCAACATCCTGGAAAATAATAATACAAAAGTTTACTGTGGAAATGTCATAATTCAGTGTTTCCTCTGTTGGCATTAGCATCTTACAAGTCCCGAGTTCCTCGGGTAGATCTGCTCACTGCACAGCTGGCTGACATCTACCAGGCACAGTTACTGATGTGAGACTATTTTGTAGGCTTAGGCCATATATTCATAATAATTTGTAACAATTCATTAAAAATGAGTTGCCTGTATTCCTAACAGAACAGCAGTTAATGTATATTGAAATAGTGATTGCTTTGCTGTAGTTCATTAAGAAGTCATATTTTAATTCCTATTTAATTACAATCCAGTTACTACCATTTATTACCAATAATTCTAATGAGGTAAAATAAGAGATGTATTGAAAACTAATGATAATGTTACAAAGGTTCATTTGGAATTCACACAAAAAATTTCTACTTAATTGCAAAGGAATTGCTTCTACCTCGTATGTGCGAGGTGGGATGTGGTTGTGGTTCTTGCTGAAGGATCAGCCTGTGCCTACCATGATCAGAAAGGCACAGGTCTACGTGTGATCTCAGCCCATACTCACCCACAGGGCTATCTTACAAGGCGACCTGCTCTGAAGATGGGGAAAGTGCCGAGCCAGGAGGAGGTGTGCAGAGGAGGACGTGGTGGTAAGTTCCCCCTGCCTTGGGTCTCTCAGAGGTTGATGGGTGCTTGAATATGTGCCACAGTGGCTCAGGAGATAAAATATGGAGAAGGAGCAATCCTGTCCAGCTCAGAGTGGGGCTCATTTCTGAGTTAGAAAGAGCTGGAGGTGGCATTATACAATGGAGGAAGGAATGAGATGTGTGTGAGAGGGCACAGTGAAGTCAACAAAGATGTAAAGCTGAAAAAAAGAGGCAGAAAAATGCTGTCCTTGATTTTCTCCTGGGCCTGGCAAGATTCAAAATATTACTACTCTACCCGGTAATGAGGTTGGTAATGTGGCTTTTCTCTGTTAACAGCTCTGTCAGTGGAGGGTCCAGGACAGTAGATTATGAAATGTTTAAGCAAATTGCCCACAGTCCTCTGAAAAACTGTTTTCAGACAAGATTGGGATTTATTAAAAAGCAAACACCACCCATGGACCCTGACAAGGACTTGTAGTGAGCCCCCAGCAAGCTTTGTAAGTTTGTGTCCCAGGGTCTGCCTCGTGCTTTTCCAGGAATGGGGGTGCAGTCCCTCAAGTGAAACCAAGACAGTGCCTGGGCTCTCTTCTCCTTCCCAGCTTCAAGAAAGCTTGGCTCCACTCCAATTTTAGACAAGTTTTGAAATAAAATTATGGGGTCTTTTCCTATTTTTGTATAGCAAGACTACCTGATTAAGGGGAATTTGAGGATAGTTATTTTTGCTTTGAACTATGCAGCCTGAAACATTTGTGGAAAGTTACCCTGAGCTTACCTTGCTCGTGTTAAGGTCTGATGCCTAAATTTCTCCTTAAAAGCAACGAGCCAAATCTATCCCTGGTGTAAGCTGTTCACTACAGTCACAGGCATTGCCCATAGGCACCAGGGACTGATTTGGTCAAACACGCCCAATGCCACAATCCTAACTCAGCAAAAATATTCCCTTTCTGTAATCAGCCTGAGGTGCAGGATATTTATGACACCCACTTAGATAGGCCTTCATATTTTCCCTCATTCTAATTTTCCCCTTCTCTTTATTTTTCTCTGTGTCTATCACCTTTTTTCATGTCTCTCCAGATGCATTTCCCAGCATCAGATAATTGAAAGTCAGTGAACTGAGTTTCAGGTTATTTTGCTAAAAGATGCCTATTATTTTGATGAAGCAGGTGCACAGAATTAAAAAAAACTCCATAATTGCTACTTTACTATCAGGCTTCTGCTGCCTAATCTTCTTTGATGTTGGTAGAACAAGCTTTCTATCTCCTCTAGGATGATTATAGGGAACATTGCTCTGTTCCTCCTACAGAATCCATTCCTGATGGATATTAAACCTGGGTTATCAATTAAAGTTTCTTTATGTGCCGAGTGATTAGAGCCAGGATTGTGTGTGATTTCTAGCATAAAGCAAATCTGAAGTGATTTCTGCCATTAATATTAATTAATCACTGATATGTCAGACATTCACAACTGAATGCACGAGGTGAGCATGTGCATTTTGCTATAGGAACCTGGGACTGAAATAATGGCTGAAATGCTCTCATTTAAGCATTTGGCAACTGTTCCCATAAAGTCTTCTCGGTGTAATTAGCTAAAAAAAAAGAAGCTGAATAAATAGCTGGGGTATTAAAAGCATGCCTGCAGTACTGCCTCGTACCAAAAGGGCTGACACATCCCCTCTACTACTCTGCTCTCACTTGTGGCTCTGACAAGCTTCAAATCTTTGGTGTAGAATCTTGCTGGTTATTTATTTATCTATCTATCTATTTATTTATTTATTTATTTATTTATTCTAGGTGAAAATAATACCCAAATATAGACCTGTTATGAGTCCTAAAATGTGTGTATATGTAAAGAGAGAAAAAGAGGAAGGGCTTGAAGGAGCGTGCAGGTTTGTATAGACTCAGATTTTGGCAGCTCAGAATCCAAAAAGCTCACAATCCCACACCAGTCACACCTAGCACTTACCAGATGATGCCCACCACCTTCTCTCCACTTCTGTGTGGGGCTGGACTATCCCTGAGCTTATGCTGGGATCCCAAAAATGTTGTTCCACAGCCTGACGTAGGTCAGCATTCACTCTGGGATCAGAAACCAGACCTCTGAGCTCTCTGTGATGGAGATGGAGGGTCTGATGCTGGGAGCAGAAGGGACAAATGCCAGGCCTGAGGAGAAAGAAGAGGTCAGGCTGGCAGGAGGACTCTGCTGCAATTTGGAAGGTGGGAAAAGGGACATGTTGACAGGCTGGTTAGAAAGAATGAGAGGAGGTACCAAGGATTTGAGAGGGAGCTTGGTACTGGGCAGGCCAGACATTGATGAGAGGATGTACAGTGTGGTGCCTGCCTGCAGACTGGGTGAGAAGCTTGACTAAGTCAGCATGTGCAGAGGAGGAACAGTGCAACAGCTTGTGTCAGGCATCATGCAAAAGATTTTGGAAAAGACTAAATCCTCTACTACATGGTTGTCCCTTGTCTTGCCAATCTTTATGGTGGCATTGCTTAATTTCAAGGTGCATGACCTCAGTCTCACTCATTTAGGGTAGCTGTAGGCCTGTGGACATATAGGTGGGCACACAGAAGTGAAGCAATCTCAGAAGTCTGCATACAGTAACGATTGTAGCCCCTCACTACATATAGCTGAATAATTTGTTTGCACTTCTCGAGAGTGCAGTGATTGCCTCACCATACAGAGGGACACGGGCGTGTTTACAAGCATTTAAATGGCACTTACATCTGTAGTATCTGATTGCCTTCTAAAGTGCAATGAAATCAGGCAAGGAATCATTATTCCTCTTTTGGAGATGGAAAAGACAAGGACAAAAATTAAAGTGACTTGATGTTTGCACCAAAAACCAATAGCAGAGCTAAAAATAGATAAAGAATCTCCCTAGTGTCAGTCCTGTGCTTTAGGTAATCTTGGGCCACATTATTGACAGAACAGTAAAGAGGCACAGCAATGACCATTGCATCTCCACCTGTTTAAACCAAATGACTAGCTGTCAGACGGGATATAATTACCCACAGTGCTAATGACACAGCCCATTCCCACTGTCATTACCGTTACTGTTGTCACCAGTATGAACAGCTTTGCCGGGCACGCAGGCCCTATCCCCAGGCATGTGATGCTCTACACGTGCAACTTCATTGGGTATAGGTGGCACAAAACGTGCTCCTGCTTATTCATTCAGCTGTATAGTCACACCCAGGACATCTTCCAGATGTTGTCAAGTCTGCTCTCAGCTGTGAGGTGCTCAAGCGTCTGGCCTCCTAGATCCAAATTTACCCCTAGAGCAAGGTAACGCAGGACCTCTGGCCTCACCGGAGCTGTGTGTGTTTGCACCATCAGGGAATGCAGCCCGGTGTGTGGTAAATGTGGCTTTTGCAAACACTTCCAAGTTTCTCCCAAGAAATGCATCGCTTAGTGGGACATCTCCTGGTTAGCGTTGGCCGGTCTTAAATCTGAGCCTTGTTCAGCAAGTGCCTGGTTTATCCGTTACTCACATCGTCATAAATCTTAGACAAAAGCAATTACGAGGAAAGCATATTTCTTTCTTTTATGGAATTTCTTAAAGCTGATGAGAGCAGTCAGATGGCTATTTTCATCAATGTACCTTTGATAGAGCATTAGGGAACAGAGATGGTGTCTTTTAATAGACCATTATTACCTGCCTTGGGTGCAAGGAGCTCTCATGCATTCCAAAAGTATATTAATGGCAGAGTAAAACATGACTTAGAAATAATATCCCCAGAAAGGGCCTTATTTTCACTCTTAAAATGATTTTAAATGGATTTTGCTCTTAATAACTGCTGAATTCATGTGCAGTATGGGAAGGGGGTGCAATGAAATTCCTTTTCCAGCCCTTCACCATGGAGTCATGTGGCACCTGTGTGGCAGGGTGCAAACATCTGCCCCATGAGAGCAAAGTGTTTTGACTCTTTCCTCATCTCCTTTACCCTCCAACATCTAAGGGTTGGGCTTAAAAATGAAAAGAGATATCAGGAAATGGGGTTATTCCCAGAAGGATGAGGAATAGTAGCAGATGTTTGCCAAGCTAGGAGTGCCACCACAGACCAGGTTTCCTTCTCCCACCTATTTCTGTCCATACTGAGCTCACTTAATCTGTTCCCTTCATGAGGTCAGGCTAGGCCATGGGACAGAGCATTGTGGGGATGCCCAAACCATGGCATCAGGACTCGTGTTTGAGTTCAAAACCTCCTGGATGGAGAAAAGACCTCTGAAATGTTTCACAAGATAATGCAGTCAGGAAATAACCTCAGTGGTGAAGCTGGGATAGAAGTTCAAGAGAAGGAACAGGGAAAAGAAACATAAGGGAGACTAATGGGGAAAATGGGCATGCACTTTTGCATTTAAGCAATGCTGCTGACTGTGGGAGATGGTGATCCCAGAGAAGGCCAAGACAAAACTTTTGAGGAAATGGGAGAACAAGATTTGATGGCAGCAAGGAGCAGATAGGAAATTCTGTGCTGATTCCAGGCAGGTTTTAAGGAAAGATGTTGACAGAAAAATGGGTTTCTCTGTTTGAGGTTAAAGCACAAACGCTTCACTCATACCTTAACCGGCGCTATCTCCTGAAATAAGAGGGCTGCAGTTTCCCAGCGCAGCGATGACCTGACCCCGGGGATGCTCTTGGCAGGGCACCAGAGCTCACACAGCACCCGGTGCTGAGCAGCGCCCGCAGAGCTGCCTCCACCACATCGCTGCTGCCACACTCTTCTGGGGAGCACTGCGAAGACAAAGCTGGGTAAGGCAGGGCGTCTGGAGCAAATTAACAAAATCAATAATAATAATACTCCCCATCTCCCATCTATTGTTTGAAGCCAAATTATGTTTTGCTATAAAACGGTCTCAAAATATTACTGCCTTTTCACATGTGATTCTTAATTAAAATTATGAATTTTATAGTTGTTTTTTTCTTCCCTTGCATAACACGAATTCTGTCCCCTCCTTTCTCCTCAGGTAGTTTTTCCTTTCACGATCTTCACAGACAATATTTAAGGAAGAGGCAAGCAAGCGATTAATAAAAGTGTGAACAGGTGGTTGCTCTGCTACTAAAAAAGATCAGTAGTGCAATAATTTCCTAATTATTATTATACCTTCTAAGGGTTTTTAAATACATGATAATATATTTCCCCACTGCTTCTTCTGGCACCCCTCTTGCTCCTGGCATTATTTCTCATTCAGAATAATAATTAATGAGAGCTGAGGTATCTAATATATATTTTATTCCTTCTGTTTCAGTCCCTTAAGTAACCATCTTGTCACATTTGTTATGCAAATTTTCACACATTGCGTGTAATTTCAGCAATATGTGAGAATGCCTCTCAAAAACGCCTTGAGTATTTTGTTTTATATATTTTTATGAAATTATCACTTTTTTTTTTTTTTCTTGAAAGCAGTATTTCTCCATAGCCCTTTAGAGAAATGGATGAGGCTACATAATTGCTCTTGTTTTACTGAGGTAAAAGAAAGCAAAGAAACATTTCTAATTATAAGGTTGTAGCAGTAATAACAATAGCGATTTTTTTTAATTTATTTTTTTATTTCAGAGAGCACTCTGTCCTTGCTTATGGGCTGCAAACTGCACCATCAGGAGCAAAGTACTATGTCCTCAGTAACTACCCACTTAGGTAAGCATGGTGCGTGTGTTTAACATTTTAGGAAGTTATCCTACATAGATGATGGACCATGCAGCTTGTCAGAGAACAGTGCTCTAATGAGGGTTCAACACATCCATTATGCATTTGTCAACCTGGTCTGTTTGCCTGTAAAAGTTTTGTTTGCTAACAGAAATCATCCATGCTGTAGGCTAAATAAAGGGTTGTTTGGACACCAGAGCCCAGAGACGCTGACAAGTGATGGAGCAGCTCCTGGAGCACGCAGTGGCCTGGGAGCTTTGGCTAAGCCTCAGCATGGGCCACTGCCCAGGGTGGTTTTCAGGGTAGAAAATAAGCCCTGCTTTTCCCTGAAAGCTCAAGTCTGGAGTTGTTCTGGAGTTGTTGCCTGTTGCTGGCAGGTGATAGCAAGCAAGGATCCATGCACTCTGGACAGGAGCAGCCCCATGTTCAGTACCCAGCCCCATGGGATTGTGCCAGCCTAATTTCTTACTAAATTCAGCTGTAAGTTTTCTGCATAAAGACACGTTTTTCCCTGTTGGATTGCAGATGTGCATGAAGTGGAGCAGCCATCTACTAGGACCATGTCTTGGATTTTGCAGCCAGCAAATATTCATCTGTGGGGCATAAGGTAAGTTCTCTTGAGCCTGTTTAATTTTAAACATGCGTGGTCAGTCTCAGTTCAAGAAATACTACCCTGGATTGAACTACTGTACCCAGCAAGGTGCAGAATTGATCATTATTTGGAAAGGGACTGTAACTTTACAGAGGATATTTTAGCATACATTTCAGCAGGGTGAGAGAGAGAGATCTGACCTAAGCAGCCCATTTGACATTGTGTGCACATATATACGAAGTCTTGGACATAATTCGCTAATACGCAAACGATTACTTGAATGAAAGCTGCCAGTTTGCTTACGTTGCTTGCAACCATGCAAAAATAAGGAAACTTGGGCTTCCTGTGTGGCAGGAATACTATGAGTCTGTGTGTGATGTAAAATTATGTGAGCAGGACTTTTCTCTAAGGAAGATTTCATTCTTTACCTTCTGAAGTCAGTGGGCCCGGAGTACTTACTGAGCGTTTTCACTGCCGTTTTTCATTGGCAAGGATCCTGGTGTCATGCAACTCTCCCACCTGGTTCTCCCGTTTACCTTTAATCACACTTTTGCAGTGTCGGGTGGTGGTGACCATTTGCCCGCAGAGTCCCTCTAAGGCCTCGGAAAATCTATTTCTGCTGACCTTTTCCATGCTTTGCTGGAGATGTGGTCAACGCTAGCCTCGTATGGGAGATTAACCTACAAAGAAGAATGATTAATTAGGCAAATTTGAGGGAAAGGCAGATCAGTTTTTAAAACTGTTCCACCTTGCTGAAGGCTGGAAATCCTCTGTCGAAAAAAGGCAGTTATTTTCTATAGCAAAAGTATTCAGGTATATGCGTAATGAAAACCGTGAAATGCAATTATTGTTGGCATTGTGATGAGTGAATGCTGAGAGTTTGAGCTTCTCCTTGTCCTATCCCAACTTAAAATTATGTTGCAATTAGATATGATTATGTTTTGGATTTTTTTTTTTAAACAAAACAAAACAAAACCAAAAAACAAAGCTAATTTAACAAAGCTAATTCAAACTCCTCCAAAAGCAAACAAACTTTTATTTATTTATTGAAAATTAAGCACAAATCTCTTGAATTGCTGCAGTTATGGACTGCACAAATCTCTTGAATTGCTGCAGACATGAACTGAAACAGGTTAAGCATCCCTCTCACATATGCTGTATTTTGAGTGCTGTTCCCACATCCCAATGAGCCAATTCCACCTATGTTGGTGCCTTTCTGGGGAGCTAGGACGTTATTGAGCAGGTTACCTCTGGGCTGCTCTGCTTTAGGTTACCTTTGGCCAACGCTCAGTGCCTTTGAGTGTCAGGTTCAGAGACCTGTGACTGTTTTAGCACCGTCTCTAGATTTTGCTCCTGCATGAAAGAATAAGAAACAGATTGCCCGATTCTGCTGAGAAACATCACTGCTTCCAAAACAAGTCCTGGAGCTGTGTACCACTGAGAGGTCATGCTTCAGTGCAGGGTGCTTGCCTTTAAAATGGGGGAGCCCAGAGGTGCTGCTTGTACTTTCTATGCAGAAAAGTAAATAAACACAGCACTCCCTGTCCTGACTTTGGCTGGGATAAAGTTAATTTTCTTCATAGTGGCTGGTATGTTGCAGTGTGTTAGATTTTTGATGAAAATAATGGTGATAACCCACCAATGGTATATCTGCCGCAGAGCAGTGCTCACACAAAGCCAAGGACGTGTCAGCTCCTCGTGCTGCCCTGCCAGCGAGGTGCTGGGGGTGCACCAGGAGCACCCCCAGGGTGCACCAGGGGACACGGCCAGGACAGGAGGCCCAGGCTGGCCCAGGGGGGACATTCCATATTATATGGGCAGCACTTGCCCTTTATTATTATTATTATTATTATTATTATTATTATTATTATTATTATTATTATTATTATTATTATTATTATTATTATTATTATTATTATTATTAATTTATTTATTTTGTTTGTTTATTTCCTTTCTCCCACTGAACTGTCCTTATCTCAGCCCATGAGTTCTTGTACTTCTACCTTTCTATTCTCTCCCCTGTCCCACTAGGGGGGAGTGAGTGAGCAGCTGTGTAGTACTTAGCTGCCTGCTGGGTTAAGCCACAACAACCCCTTCCTCCCAAACTTTTACAAACATAATTGTGTGGGAGCTAAAACCAGCCTTTGTGCAATAAAGGAGGGAGATTTTGCCCTCTCCACCATGAAAAGCCATGCAATAAAAATGTAAATATCTGCCTTGAAGGCTTTCTTAATAAACCCTGTAATTTTCTTAAAATTTTTCCTATATCAAAATTCGAAACCACTTTGAGATGAGCTATTTTAAACTGTAATTGGGCTATTCATTCCCTATGCATACAGTGATCCTAATCTAATATGTAACAAGAACTTAAAAGCTAATCAATAATGGAACACGATTCTCTATCAGTAGAGCTGCCTGTTGACTCCTGTGAGAGGGATCTTCACAAGACAGCTCGGCTCTGATGACAGCCTTATATTTATTTTAAACATGAAGTTGAAACATCATCTTTCTCTGTATTGTCACTTCCAATTATTTTTGGAACAAAAACACCAGGGGGAAATGAGATCCTTATCCTGAAATGTGCATTCATATTTGATAAATAGCCACAAATTCTGGAGAATGTTTACTGAAATGTGAGCTTGAAATGCTTTCACGTGCATTTTTACTAAAGCCATAGATTATCTGTTGCAAAATGTGCCCGGGCTGCTTTGCCAAGCTACCCTTTCCTGTGCCTTGGAGGTGAAGAAAAGAAAGGGGATGAGTATCCCAGTGCTGGAAGGCCGTGTTTTCCTGGGGTAAAACCAAGGTAAAATTACCATTGAGAGGGAATCAAAGTGAACCGCCATTTACTGTCCTTCAGTGGAAGTCAGGAAGCCTTTTATACCCTCACGTACAAAAGACAAATCCCCACTTTTCATGTCTACGCAGTGGCTTGAGCTGGAGCGGGTGGAGAGAAGGGGGTTAAGCGAGTACACAGATGTGCCTAAACCCATATCAATCATAGGCATGAGAAAATGCCGCCCTCTTAATAGGCAGGCTGCACCATTGTGCACAGCTGGATTTTGAATTTTATGGGCTCTCTCCATAAAATGCAAGCAGAAGACATCTCCCATCACTCCCCCAGCTCTGGCCATTTGTGCTCTCACCATTTTCCCTCTGAGCCACGCTGGGGACGCGGGAGCCGAAGCCCTACAGTTGTAGCCACGTACGACCCCCTTGCCACTGTCTGGAGCCAATTAATGTGAATTTTGGAAATACACGGTGGGTTTCTGATGTCAGGTACACTTCCACAAAGTCCATGTATTTAATCTGGAATTACTCAGGGCACGAGGGATCAGGAGTTGGCTGGGAAAGCTCCTCTCTGGAGAGTCCTAAATGCCAGTGATTTCAAGTGATTATTTATTGAGCTTTATAATAGTGCGTATATCCTCATACACACCCTTCTCCTACAAATTACCCTACAACTTTCCAGCCCTTCGTTATGTTGTAGAGGTTAAGGCTTTCCTAAGTAATCAAAACATCCAGGAAGGAAAGCTTGCTGAATGCTGAGCTAAGCTTGAACACTGACCCTATCTCTTAACTGTATCAGAAACTTTATGTACATCATAAAACGTAATAATTGCTGCAGTAACTGCTCGTTCAAGTTAACTAAAGGAGTAAATAGAGTTGTGTAATGTAGCCAGTGCTGTGTTGGGAACACAAAGGAGGTCTACCCATTAAAAGGTTTAACTGATACATATACATATACCCTATAGCAAAATTTGCTTTCTTCCTCTTAATAGGTATATTTGACTTCTTTAGGGCAATTCTCTTTCATTCTGCTTCTTCTTTTGCAAAGCCTTTGGGCATAGAAAGCAATTAGACAGTTGCAAGGAAATGGCAAATCAAGCATGAAGCTTTGTTTACCTTCCTTTCACTCCTGTTTTTAACAGTGCAATAATTCGACCCTGTCCTTTTCTCAGGTGATGTCCCTTATTTTAGCTGGGCCACAGAAAGGGAAGTTTGTGCTCCTCCTCTCTGCAACCAGCGGTGGGGTCTCCCTGAGCCTGAGCTCTGTGCTGCCACGGACTCTTTGGCACATCATTTCTCCACTACTTTGTTCATTTCCATAGCAAAATTAATAACTTACAGAGTGTTTGCAATGACTGAATTTTGCTTTCTGCTGCAGGTCCCCCTCTGGGGCAGGACACATGTGCTGTCAGTGACCACCGATGCAGCCAGGAGCCAGGCCTGCCTACGGAGAGCTGGTCATTTAAACAAGCATCACTAGGTCCTGGGGGACCTCTGGAAATGTGGGCTGTCCTTTTCCTGGCCACCCCAGAGAAGACGAGGTGCTGTGATGAAGAAGATGTGCTGTGACGCTGAATGGTGAGTTACGGGGCTCTTGGGCTGTGCTAAAAGTTGTGGGCAGGGGCGGCCTTCCTGCTGGTGGTGAGCACTCGGTGTGGGAGCGTGCATATGGTGGGTCACTGTGCTAAAGGCAAATTGCAGCTCAGCTGTGCTTGCCTGTTGGAAAGAAAAGACATGTTCTTGGTGGCGGCTGTTTCACTGCGTGTTACAGCTGGCAGCCATCAGCTGCTGGGCCACCAGCACTGAGCTGAAAACTTCTCCAGTCCTGTCCTGGGGCCACACCATGTCCCTGCCACTTGTGTACCCCTGAGCTCCTCAGTGAGACGCTGTGGGGCAAATTCATTTCCCATGCAGGCAGTGAAGCCACACCCGATGCATCCACGAAGCAGCATGAATGTACTTAGATTCAAAACGTCTCCGATCTATTTCACACATACTCTCCGTAAGCCTTAGTTTAGTATTTTTCCCTTTGCTGATCTGAGGCTCAGCCTGCACCGTGAACACTACGGGTAAGTTTTTGATTGACGTTCAGTCGTGAGCATTTAGCTATCTCCATGTCTTGTCAAGTCATCTTTTGATAAAAGCATTTTAGGTGCCACAAAATGTAATCACTTCACTGCAGCGCTCTACATTGCAGATTCAAGTTTCTCTGCACATTTTTCAGCTAAAGATTTTTGGCACTGTCGATAGATCTGTTCCACGGGCAATTTTGGATGGATCTATTAATATTGCCTCTAAGAGTAATAAGTCCTGCTCTTTTACAAAGTGAATCATCTATCTCCCCTTTGGACTTGTAGTCCACAAGTCAGCAGGGTTTCCTGTTTTGTTAATAGTCTTCGTACAGCAGTGAAGTGATTTCAAAAAATGTTCAGCCCAGTTTTGGGGCCAAGTAGTATGTCTTTTGGTTATTTGTTCTCCTAGACAGGCCGTGTCACCATTAGTCATGCTTCAGAGTGATGGTTTACTTTCATTATTCACTGACTGCACCGCTTCCCATTCAGTGCTTTCCAACTCAGCAAGATTTTCCTGTGCTAATTCATCTGAATCATTTCTAGGAGAGTTTATATCAAAGGACACATTCTCAATGTTAATAAAGTGGAGGGGTTTTGAGACGGCTCGTAGTTCTGATTCTTCAAAACCAAGCATGTAAAGGTATTTACTCCATGTTTGGGAGCACAGATGCATTGGCAGGGAGTCTTAACACGGCTGATAGCCCTTTCCCTTCTTACGTGCCTTCTGTTTGGGACATTTAGCACACGTGCTCTGTGGTCAGGACTGGGCTAACACTGGGTCTGCCACGACAGAACCACCATTCCCAGCATGGTTTAGGATGTGGCTCTCGGACACCACCACTCTCAAGGCCCTCTGCCCCCAGGACTTATTATGCTGCCACCGATGTACCTGACCACTTCAGATGATGACTGAGACTCCGTGGTAGGTCCCAGTTCTGTAGATTTTTGGCAGGACTCAGGAGATTTATGTACTCTGGTGCAGGCCTGCCCCTGGGGCTCTCTGCCCCTGTATTTGTGTGTCGGGAACATGCAGTGTGGCCGTGCTACAATGCCCACGCATCTGTGTGTTACACATCTGGCTCTACACGTCTTTTCCATGACTCAGGACAGAGGCTTGATCTCACCGGCTGCATTTCTGAGTGGGTATTTATCTGTTTGAAGGCTCCTCTGAACTTCCCACGCAAACACGAGGCTATAGGGTTTCATATAATCTTACATTCCTGGCTTGTCAGCCTGCCCACAACAGCAGTGAATTGCGAAGACAAAAAATTAGCGGAAGAGTTAGTTAAGCAGAAACATAGCCACCCACATCATCTGGTGCGTCCTACTCCTCTGCAGCCATCTCAGAACCTAAGACAACATCAAGAAAACAAAGGACACTTTGTAACTCGGGCTAAGATCATCAAGTGAAGTTGGCGGCATGCTCTGGGAAGGACACAAAGGAATTGCCCTAAACTTGGAATTTTGGTCCTTAAGGTGTGGAGAAGAGGAATTTTGACAACTGTGGAGAAAAAGCAGTTTGCTTTGAAACTAGAAAGGTTGCAGAAATGTTCATGTGAAAGAGAAATGCAAATTATTAAAAATTTTCCAGCTAACTATAATTGCCAGGATTATGCTGAGAACATGACTCTTCATGGCAGGCCCCAGTGTCCTCTGACTGATGTCTACAACAACATCAACTTTCCCCTAGTGAAGACAACCCTTGGCTTTCTATAGAGTTGATGAAAAGAAATAGATGTTACATCTACCACTGTTAATGTTAGTTACGAGCACAGGCTTAAGATGCTATTTGATTTTCTTAGAGTGTTCTCTTATCTTAAAGATAGCCAAATCCAAAGATTAGATTTGTTAGGGTAAAGCAGACTCTAAAGTTGCCAAGTTTCTTCTCTTGGTTTAGTCAGTACATATGAGACATTTTTTCTGAATACCTGGACAGGTTTTTGCCTTGAATTTGGAGGTGGCAATTGATTTTAGGTGCCTTCAGGCTTATGCTTGGTTGCAAGGCTGCATGGCTCACAGCCTGCTCAGCCCCCTTTTAGAGAGTGCAAACAGGGACCTTAGCTTTCACTATTGCCATCCAGCCTTAACAGGGCTTGGCATTTCCCTCTGGCAATACTTGAAAATATGGCTATTTTCTGTCCCTCCTTCCTTCCTTCCTTCCTTCCTTCCTTCCTTCCTTCCTTCCTTCCTTCCTTCCTTCCTTCCTTCCTTCCTTCCGTCCTTCCGTCCTTCCGTCCTTCCGTCCTTCCATCCTTCCTCTCTCCTTTCCTCCCTTTATGCCCAGGACACTTTTTTGTTTTTTCAGTTCCCCAGAGGGCAAGGCTGACATTTCTGAGCCCTAGGATTACTGACCGTGCTTGTTGCTACTCAGATCCCTTCCAGCTCTCCAAACCAGTACAAAGCTCTGGGCTTTCAGCCAATTTACTCACAGGTTTATCATATGCTGACATTGTTTCTCTATAAATAGGTCTACCTTTACTGACATTATTGATTCAACTGCCTCTCTTCTCACTAATACTCCTTTTAATGTATCCAACCTGCTTCAGTATTTCACCTAATGAAAGGCTGAAGTCAAAAGGGTAGAGGTCGAAGAGGTTAAATTGCAAGTGTAAAGGTCTGAGGCTTTAAAGTCAGTGTTTGCAGTGTGAGACAACAATCTGTCAGTAGAGCAGAGCTGCAAGCCTGAGCTCTCTTTTCCACCAGAAGAAAGTGAACCGTCAAGCCAATTTCACATTTTATTAGTAAAAATTTGAATTAAAATGAGCTTCTTTTGCAAAACCCTTCTTCTGATCCATTTTGGTTGGCAGCGATAACAGGCACCCTAACCTGCCCATCTCAGACTGTGTGATTTTGAAAACAGGGAGCACATTTTCCCTAAGAGGTACAAACACATCTACACATCTCACACGCTGCTTGACTTGGAGTGAACCCAAATTAACAGACCCAAGTGGTCGTTAGGAGCACTAAGGTGTTCACGCTGGGTTTTTCAGAAGACCATGGACTCCCCATTCCACCTGGCTCTCCACTTTCAGCATATCCCCCCTCCCTGCGTCCTGTGGTTCAGCTGGGGAGCACCGTCACGGAGCCCGGCTCAACATCACAAGAGATCTCAGCAGAGCAAGCTGCCCGCGTTGTTTTCCAGCAGATCTGCTGGTGCCCAGGCCATGGGTCTCCTCTCCGGCATGGCTCGCATGCTCCAAGGTGGCTGCATCAGGGGGCCAGTGGCAGCCACGGAGCTGGCTGGGGCCAGACGTCCGCAGAGGGGCAGGAAAGTGGAATTAAATGCTCGGGTCTGGCAAAGAAAGCTGCCAGGGCTGCCAGAGCTATAGGCCGATAAATATCGTGCTCAAACCAAGCGGCATCCCCCACCCCAAAACAAATCATAAGAGATAAGAAAATGTTTCACATTGTTAAAAGTTTATATTATCTCTGACTTCAGAAATGTTGCCATTAACCAGGGAATTAATCAGAGATTTTCATTTACTCCTTGTTCTGAACTATAATGAGCCCTTTAACAGTGTAAATAAAAAGATCTAAAGATTCAATAAACTATAATGCCACAAATGGCAATCATCTACCATGTGAGGCCTCTATGTTAAAAAGCATCACACAGCTGGAGACAAATGCTTCAGTATAACATTGTAAATAACCTCTAAGCCCACTACTAATTAAACTGAAGCTTCACTTCTCCTGGGCATAGAATATATGAACCAATTAAGAAAATATCACTTCTTTTCTGAGAGACCTGCACCGTCCCCCCCTTAAAATAAAAAATAAAAAAGGTGGGGGGATTGAAAGATCCAGAGATAGAGAGAAATAAAGGAGAGGGGGAAAAAAGGAAAAGAAAGGAGTTTTACAGAAGGGACCACACTGATGCACTGGGGTTACAGTAATGAGGCATTTCTGCTTTAAGCAAATTTTGCACCTGTAACCTGCAGAAATATAGCCATAGCACTTGAAAAATTACTTCAATGCTGCACAGTGCCATGAAAATTTATCTTTGAGATGATTTTATTGCATGGTTACCCTAGGCAATTAAATCAATAAATCTTAACTGTCAGAAAGGTTGGCCTGCTGCCAGGAATAAATGAAATGCGCGGAATCAGTAAATAAAAGGTTTCTGACAACTCATTCTAGGAATTATTTAGCAGTTGGGCTTTTTGTTGGTGGTGGTGTTGCTTTTGTCTCCAGCATTTATTGACATTCTCCGTGAGAAATGATTATGCTAACATAAACAACGTAGCACGGAGATACAGATAGATAGGAGAGAAGAGTCGAGCTCGTCAGGGCAATAAATTATTACCCTCTGGAACCACTGGCTAGCAGCAACTTCGGGGGGGGCTGGTAGCTTGGCAGAGGTGGTATTAGCTAGTTGGGGCCTCGATCACAGGCTGGCAGCACACAGGAAGTCCTAATATTGGGCAATGGGAGTTCTGGTGCTTTTGTTATTAAAATAGATGTGTTATTTTCATTGATTGATTCAGAGATGATAGAGATTGAAATGCC